GTCTGCTACTTCACCCACCTCCTACATTGCTGAGCAGCTAGCAGCCCTTTCCCGCCAGAACGAGCATATCCTTGCTGGCCAGGAGCACATCAACGCCCGACTCGACCGAGAGCGCGAAGGTCGGCGCTGCATCATTTCGGCTTAGTATTACATGATGAGCTACTGGGACATGGACCCTGCTGCTGTTAGCTACCCTTGGGAGGCTTCCCTAGGGCATGAGGATTTCTACCCGCCTCCCACTGGCGACAGAGGCGATGAGAACTAAGCTGGCTCTGCCTACTGGGCCATCGAGTTGGGCTCTGCATTTGTCTTTCTTTCTAGACTAAGACTCCATATTGTGTTTCCTTTTCTCTAGTCTTGTTTCTTTGGATTGTAGACTTGGAACTGTGGTTTCTTTCACCCAATATGTGTGTGTTTTGCTGCCTATAGCTCTGTACCCGTTGGACTGATCCTTGTTCAGTCCTCTGCTATTGACTGGTCCGCCCTCCAGACACCGTTCCTGACCACTTTTTCACGGTAAAATCGTTCCCCTTCCCTCTGCTCCATTGAGGACACTGTCGAATTTAAGTGTGGGGGGGGGGTTCTTTGTATTCATTGGAATGTATATATGTGTGCTTGGAGCCTAGTCCGCTATCCAAATCTCGAGATGTTAGGGCTCTAAGCACTGATGTTTGCTTGATCATATTGGCACTGTGGTTTAATTGGTGAATCGAATGGCTTTCGAATTAATGCATGACAACTGGATTGTGACTAGGACAGCCTATAATGATAACTGAGAAGTGTAGTAGAATTGTGTAGGAGTTCAGTTTTTCAACTATTTGCTTACCAACTATGACTTGGATTGATCACTTGCTCTTGACAGTCGTTTATGCATCTAGTTCAGGGAATCAGAGTGAGAGATAGAGCATATAGGTAGCCATGTGAGATTTGAGCCTGCTCGTTTCTTTCTTGTGCAATAGTTCCCTCTTCCATGATGTGTAGCATTCACGTTGTCATTAGCTAAGATGATGGAGGCATAGGATTAGCCCACGACCAAATTGACTGTCCTGGTGTGTCATACCCCCTAGTCAGCCCCTTTGAGCCGTGTGTTATCCTTTCTTTCGGTCTACAATGAAAAATCACCCTTTTGCATCTCTTAGAAGGTTCCACAGAGTGGTTTTTACATGTTCTCTGCTGTTTCTGCTATATATAATGTGAAGGGGTTGGAGGTAGTTCTTAAAAGGTTGGGCATGTGTTTGAAAAATGTGCATAGGTGGTGGTTCTCTCAAGAAATGAAAAAAAGAATAGAAATGAAGAAAAAAATTGAATGAAAGCAAAAGAGAGCCACCACCACAAAAATCTGAATAATGCCCATTAAGTAGTGTTTCTTAGCAGTATGGCTTGGAAATACTAACATTTATGTGACCTCCTTCGCTCTTGTGCTCTAGAGAATTTGAGTAATGCAGAATAGCAGAAAGAAAGTTACTCGTTTGATTGGATGTGATTGTGTTGGGTTTGGAACTGTGGAACCTTGTGCTATGAATACTTCCACCACCTAAAAGGCATTTTCCCCATGTCCAAGACCCTAGCCAGTCATTTGAACCTGTGTCTAAGACCTCCGGATTAGTTAGTGATGACACCCATTTTTGTGAACTCTAACATTTAGAGGTTGCCGTCATGGTGAAGAGACGTTAGGGATTGAGAGAATAAGTATGCGCATTTTTCGCATCAAATTTTCCTGACCCCACTGGTCGAGAGTGAGCTATTCATTTCCTTGTTCTTTACACTCTTTACCCTGGTGAGGACCTAGATGGCTCGGTATTGATTCTAATGTCTTGAGTTTTATGCATGAGTTGACTGTCTTGAATAAGTGGTTGAGTCAAGTCTAGGTTGGTTGGTGAAAAGAAGGGAGACTCCTCCTTTACTCGATTTTGCTGCACTCGAATGTCCTCTGTTGTGGTTGTCCAGGTGTTGATGTTTGAAAGCCACTATGATTCCCGTGTTTCGTGCCTATGTGATATGTCCACAAGGGTTGCATGATTGAGATGTTTCGAGCTACCTTGTATCTGACGGGGTTTGCTTGGGGACAAGCAAACGGTTAAGTGTGGGGGAATTTGATAGCGTCGTATTTGCACATGTTTTCACCCTTGTTTCCTGACCATTTTAGCTCGAATTTGTTGTTCCTTGGCCTATTTTACGCTAGGTTGTGTTGTTTTGTCGTATTTCAGGTCCTAGCAAGTAAAGAGGTGCTAGGCGCAAGTTGGTCATTTGGAGGTCAGGTGGCGATTCAAAGAGCAAATTACGGGCAGCCCCTGCACAATTACGGGCGTAATTGCTCCTGGCTTACCCGTAAATGCAATGCCGAGCCTTATTCTTCAGAATTCCTATCGCAGAGACAATTACGGGCAAGAGTCATAGTGATTATGGTCGTAATTCCATGATTACTGGCAGTAATTGGGTAATTACGACCGTAAATCCTTTCTTCTGAGATATGTGAAACGCGCGTTTTGGGCAATTACGGGCAGACCATGATTACGACCGTAATTCAGCCTGTAATTCGCCCATAATCGGGTTTTTGAGGCAGATTCGAGCCAAAGGAGAGGGAGTCGACTTTTTGGAAGAAAAAACAGAGTTTTAGAGAGAGAAAGTGTGAAGAACAAACCCTATGGAGTAGAACCTTCTCTCACTTGGGTATGAAGAACCCTAGTTCCATGTGTTATGAATCTTGATTGTAATGACTTGGGATTGTTATACTAATTGATTTTAATCGATTGTTGCATGATTTATTGAGTCAATTAAAGTCTGATCATCTTTCCTTGATTTCTGCTGCAACCTGAGATAGATAGAATCTGATTAGGTTGTTAGAACTTCATCAATCGGTAGTGGTAGATTGATTATACGAGAGTTAATCAATCTACTGCTTTGTACTCGAACCCAATTCCAGTAGTGGATTTTTGTGCTTATTGCTTCAGCTTTCTATCCCGGTGAAGACTAGTCGTCTGCCGGGTAGTTGGACTGAGAGGGTTTGGTCAACTTAAGAGATTCCAAGCTACTGTCGGATTTTCCACAGTTTAATTAACAGTAAATCAACCCAGGGTATTTACAACTGTGACCTAACTAAGGAGCTAGGGGGACTCATTCCCGAGTGACTCTTCCTTTGCTTTAGAAAAACGAATCATTTCCTGCTTTCTTACTGCTTTTAGTTAAAACCACAATCAATCGACTTAGTTGGCTGGATAATAGATATTCACGGAGTAGGCAGTAGATCTAGACCCCGGGTTGATAATTAGAACTTGCCACTTTAGTGCATTCCCGGACTGCGATTACACTTGGTCGCAGTTTGGTGTTGTGTTTTAGCGTGTCAGGCACCGACGCTTAATCGTAGATACAGACTGCAAAATCTTCGGAGCTGGACCAGAGACGGCGATCCATGTAGTACGTGACTGTCCTTTCGCGCGAGCTGCTTGGGCGGAGCTCCTAGAGAACGAGCCAGACTTCTTTGAATAAGACTTGCAGCGGTGGTCTCATTACTACTTGCCAGGGCGAAGTCAAGTCATTGACAGTACACTTTTTGCAGGTACTTGCTGACAGCTGTGGAAGAACCGGAACAACTTCTTGTTCCGAAGTGAGTTGAAGGCCTATACACAAATCTAGTTCCAAGCGAAACAACTCAGAGAACACGTTCTAAAGCTCTTGAGAAGGAGAGTAATATCTTCGGAGATGGGGGACTCCGAGAAAGGCACATGGTCGGCTGGCAACCGCCGGCGCAAGACTGGGTCTACATTAACACAAATGGCTCATTCATTTCCTCTCCTGAGAGCACTACATGTGACGGCATTTTTCGGGGAGACGATGGCCGATTTCTCAAAGCCTTGGAGGGGGTTCCATTACGCGTGCATAATTGACTGGTATTGTGTATGGGTTGAAGCTTGCTTGGGATCAAGGGGCAAGGAAGGTTGTTCATCAAACAGATTCAACAACTGATAAGTCCATGATAGAGACTACATCACCACAGCATCCGCATTACACGCGAGTAGCTGAGATCCGGAGCTGGTTGGCTCGGCCATGGATAGTTTGCATAGATCATGTTTACCGCGAAGCTAATTACGTCGTGGATTATCTTGCTTCGATAGGTCACGCTTTTCTGATGAGGCACCATGTCTTTGATAGCACGAGTAGCTCTCTTGCTTACTGGTTGTTTTACGACTCTATAGGGATTCAAACGTCCCGTCTCATTTGTACGGAATAAAGGTTTGGGCGCCTTTAGCGCCCTGTTCTCACAAAAAAAAAACATATTCACATTTTGAAAGACCGAAGAACCATTTTCGTTTACTTACCATTTATTAGTATTCTTTTTAACTTTTTTCATAATTTTAAGACTAAATTATAATATCATTATTGTGTGTCTACATATATTGTTCTGTTTTATATGTTACCAATTTTTCAATAGATTGTTAAAGGTTTGATGTTAACGAATGAGTCGTGAAACATTCACGTCTTCGGCTCTAACTCTAGTCTAACTTCATAACATTGAATATTAGATTCTTTTCTTTTAAGGTGTGACATATACTCTATAACATGGAAAGTAAAATCAAGTGGGAATTTGAATAGTCATATGATAAAAATAAAACAAAACTCATAACTCAAGAAGAAAGGTTCCTTAAAAATGGCTAAATTACAAGTTTGGTCACTTAAATTACATAAATCTTTCACTTTTGTCACTAGAATTACTTTTCTCACATTAGCCACTAACTTTACGATTCATTTCACTGTTAATCACCGACCGTTAGTCTATGTTAAACTCTGTTAACGTCGTTAAATTTTAGATGACGTGGCAAACGCAAGCCCTAACTGGACTGGAAAAAAAGACGATTCATGCAAGTTGACCACCTAATCAGCTTCACCCAACTCAATTTACCAAAACATGTTATTTAATTTTCTTTTATATTTTAAGGACTAAAAAAAACAAAATTAAACCCAACCCCTTCCAATGCGCCGTCTTTCCTCTACTACGAAAAAAATCACCATCGTCGCGGAAGGAAGAACCCATCACCACTCATTCCAGAATCGCAAAACGTGGCGAAGATTCTAGGGCGAAGACCGCCATTGCAGTTCCCGAACAAGAAGCTCAAAGTAGTCGGACCGGTAAGACATGTGAGGAAGTAATTGATTGTGGCGGCGGCGAACCTAGCAAATTTAGCTCCAACCGGTTGTGTCTTCTCTAATTCACCCACCTGCGTCGCGGCTCCAAGGGGAAAATAGACCGGAGATTGGGGTTTTTGTCGAAGGTGAAAATTTGTACGGGGCTGAAGTGCTTTTTGGAGGTGAAAATCGAGACTAGAAAATGGGGTTATGTCAAATTTTGGGATTGGGGTTCTCCTCCGAATGTTCCCCCTCGACCCGCAGAGGGAGACGATGCGGCGGCAGAAGGTGTCGTAAATCACAGTGTTGGCGTAGAAGTAGGTGAAACTTCCATCGCGGTAGAAGACGATGACGGGGACGACGACAGTGGTGCTGAGTTGTTTCTCTAGGTTGATCTGGGTGGTCAATTGGGATTGGGGTCGGTAGACCCGGTTGAGGAGCCTCATGGATCGGTCGAGCCGGTCGAAGGAGAAGATGTCATCGACGGGGATGCTGTTGGCTGGGAGCTTTCGTTCAAGGAATTCGCCGAGGTCGCGGTTGCATGAGCCGCCATCGGGGTGGCAGCGAAGGTTGTAACCTAGCTTGAAGTTGGAGATTAGTACCCTGGTGTTGAGCGAAACCACCCTCCGCCCAACAAACAAAACAAAACAAAAGCCTTAAATCAAAGAAGAGCAAAAAAAAAAAAGGGACAAAGCAGACAAGTAAGAAAGACAATGGATAACTTGGATTCATTGAGGTTGATTTCGTTATCACCAATCATGTGATTGTTTCTTCTTCTTCTGTTCTTGTTTTTGCTGAGAGAGAGACGAGGTGGGAGACGAGGGAAGAGAAGGTGGAACCAATCTTTATTTTTATTTGGTTTAATACATCTGCATAGCCATAACTTTCACAATTTTGACAAATATAGCCACTTTTTGAAAAATACACAGACAAAGCCACACTTTTAAAACATTGTTGATTAATCTAGCCATTTCCCTCAAAACATTTAACGGCGTTAACGTACCTGTCAGTCAAGCGGACGAATAGCCGATCTGTCTGCCACATGGAAGACACGTCAGCGCCAACGGGACTAACTAAGTGACGTGGACGCCACGTCAGATAATGAAGAATATTTTTTAATATTCATTTTTTTATATAACTGACATGGATTCACCACAATTTATTGTATAATAATAATTTATTAGTTCCCCTTTAATTCCAATATTGTGTCATTAACCTCTGCCATCTTCCCAGATCCAAAATCCACCTGCGCCCCTTCTTCTTCTTCCCAACCGAAACTCTCAAATCCCTACACAACAGCGCCCTTCTTCTTCTTGATTTGATAAAATCCATTTCGTTTCTCACCACTAAACCCGTCCTCCGTCGATGAACCGATTGGCGAAATCACACCCATACCCTAAACCTAGAATCAACATCCACCAGCTCATAAACGCTAATCCCTATTCCCCAATCATCTATTGTCGCCATCGTTCTACCTCCGTCCAATGAAGAAGCATCCATGGGGAGGTTCTAGCGTCAAAGAAATCAATAATGGAGACTAACGAGGGCAGAAGGCAATCCATCACGAAGCTGGTCTCGAGTAATAAATCTCGGTTGCAGGAGGGACGGTGGTCGGATTCAAAAACGGTCTCTGCTTTGTGTTTGCGGTCAATGATTGTAGACGGAGACCATTCGAACTGGCCGCCGATGTAGCAGGGGAAGTTTTCCTACCACCTTCCACCCTGCCGCCTCCGAACCGTCGTAGTCAGAACCGCTGTCCGATGCTACTCTCCAGCCGGATGCATGGCTTCTCTTAGTCAGAGATCGAGCACAAAGGATGGGATCGAAGGATAGGGTCAGTCGAGAGAGAAGGAGATGAACAGATAAGGGAAAAGGGGAAAGTGATTCGATCGCTTTCTCTCTCCCTGTCTTACTTTATTTTTAATTAATCATTTATTCATTAATTAAAAAATCAATGTTTTCCATCTGGCAAGGACGCAAGTTAAAACATGCCACATCAGCCGCTGTCGTTAGTCCAGTCAGCGAGTTATGTAAACCGTCAAAGAATTAGACGGAATTGGCTATATCTGAGTATTTTTCAAAAAGTGGCTATATTTGTCAAAACTGTGAAAGTTATGGCTTTGCAAGTGTATTAAACCTTTTTATTTTTAAATTTTTAAAATTGCCATGTCATCATGTTAACTGTTCAGTCAGCAGTCTCGTTTGCCACGTCATCAAAAATTTGACGGTGTTAACAGAGTTTGATGAAGACTAACAGCCGGTGACTAACGGTGAAATAAATCGTAAAGTTAGTGGCGAATATGAAAGAAAGTAATTCGAGTGACAAACATGTAATATTTATGTAATTTGAGTGACCAAACGTGTAATTTAGCCTTTAAAAACAAACATAAATATTGACTTCCACCAAGGGCCAAGCCCAAACCAAACTTTATTTAGATCCACAATCAAAAATATTTCATCCAACCCATCTCAAATCTTGAAAACAAAAATCTTCTATAACTCGATTGCATCTACCACTTTGAAATTGTGTTTTTGACAATAACATAGCGTTGAATTATTTTTGTTTTTTTTTACAATAACATGATGTGGAATTCTAGGGCATTACTATTCGTCGCCCTAAATTTTATCGAAATGACTCAAATATCCTTAGTTTAATATTTGTAATACCTGGTTGCCGGTATTATTGAGTGGGATGGTGATAGATTTCTCCCTAGAATGTTCTTCGACGCCTTTCTTTCTAGAAATCACGATCCCTCGGCTTTACATGTATGGCTGATTTTACTGGAACGAATTGTTGCTCGTCATTTCAATTCTTAAGGGGTCAGTTTGGAACTCTTTCTGAAAAATTGTATGGATTGTGTTCTGTTGATTTCAATTGGAAACTCTAACTCCAAACCTCATGAAGTAAGCTAAGAAGAACGAAAATTAAGTTAATTCAAGGCGTTTCTCACTGGGAATGGGATTATGTTGTTGGAGAGAAGGTTTCTACCAACTCTTGACAAAAGGAGGGTTGTGGGTCGGAGTGAAGAATCCGGCAGCAGCATGAGGTGGGAGGCGGCCTCATTTTTCTCTTTGTCTTCTTCCTCCTCCGGCTAGAAGCAGTGCATCGGCTGCGGTCGGGTTGAGGTGGGCACTTGTCGAGGAGAAGGATCCGACAGCGCAACAGCGCCCGGAGGACAGCGGAGCTCGGCGGCGGATGGGCAGGGTATGAAATTGTTTGTTTAAGGTTTTGATTAGAAATTGAGGTCAGGTGGTAAAAGTGTTTATTTGATGCATTTTAGGGCGATAAAATTTAAATTTTAGGGCGACGAATAGCAATCCAGGAATTTCTATGACGAAGGAAATAGCCATTACAGTTGAGAAACAATAAAATATTACCCAATTCATACTCTGTAATTAGTTTTCTAGACCTCCACTAGACAAAGTTTTCCAAATGTTTCCATGGAGTATAGTTCGCTGCTTATACCTATATTAACAAATTGAGTAAATAAGTTAACAACAATATGCAATTCCAACCTCGTAAACTACAATAACAAATCCTTTGTACTTTAAAAATTGACATGGTCCTATAAATTATTGTCACGGTAGTGATCAGTTCACAAGTCGGACAAATTCACCTAGAGGAACAATTAATCACATACCCATATACTACATCAAAGATCTTTAATTACTTATGATCAAGGAAACAAACAAAAAATAGTTGACCCATGGGTTTTCTGACTTCATCATCTTTTATGTGTACTGTATGTTTTTTTCAACTTTCGCCATCTTGAATGTTCCATATGAAATACAAGCTAGAAAGCTATCATCATTACTCACAAACTCTTCCGTTAAAACAATCAAAGAAAATGCTCTATTTAAAGATAAATAAAAAACAAAATGATAAATTTGAGATTAAAAGATATATATCAAGTACTTGGATGCATTCTCAGCTTCGATAGAGTAATATAATTCACCATCTAGGCCATTCCCACATTCATTAGCATAGAGGGGAAGGTGGCTTATTGTTAAGATCTATGTTTATGAACTTATTGTTAAGATGCTATGAGTTACTGTATTTTAGACTTGAATTGTATATATTTATTAACTTATCTAAATTTTGTGCACTCTTATTTTACATAGTATATGTCATACTTCATTGATTTTTAGCCATTTTACAGTATACGTAAAAAACTTACGCTTTTGCGCTTTGATTCTACGCTTTACGATTTTACCCTTTGTTCGCTTCTAGGTAGAATCACGCTTTTGACTCCATTGCAAATGACACTTTTTGAATAGTTTGGGCTTCCTAGTGGAATTAGCCCAATAACAAAAGAGAAAAGCTTGTTGCGCCGAAAAGGGGATGGAGAATTGATTGTTGAGAAATAACTTGTTACGAATGTCGTATTTCCTCTACAAGTGTACTACAATCTTTTTTGGAAATTCTAAGTCGCCAATTATGAGTTGGCTCTTTTAACCAATTATGAGTTGGCTCTTTTAACCAATTATGAGTTGGCTCTTTTAACCATTCATCCATGGATGTTTAGCAGGGATCTTCATATGAGGTCTGCAAGGAAGGAGAAATCCACTATGAGATTTGAACGTAAGACCTACATGTTGAAAATCGACAATAGCACCACTAGAGCAAGTCCTTTTTTGCACTATAAAGTTGGGATAATAATCATATCGCCCTATCTAGAACTACTGAATATGGAGCATACTTGAATTCAATTAGGGGTTGTTTGGAGGTTGGGATTTCAAGTGATGTATTTAGCCAATGTATGTAATGTCAAGATTAAGTCGTTTTTTGGTTGAATTTGTGATAGAATACATGTATTACCTTTTTTTGGGCCCACCTACAATCACTCAAAATGAGTGATTATCAATCTCCACCAAAAGGTGAAATTGTGACCAATGGATTGTCTATCTCTAATTTATTTTATTTATAATAAAGTACAATCTAAACCTCCAAACAAAGTATTTTTCAAATTCATACATTTCATCAAATATATCAAATTACAATACACAAATTAATTAAATACTTCAAATCGGAGAATCCCAACCTCCAAACAACCCCTAACGTTGCTTCAATCTGACCTAGCTGGCGAGCGATCCCAGTTCGCGGCAGAGAACAAGACAGCAAGCGAGCGTACTTTTGTTCGCTTTTTCTCCACCAAGCACGAAAGTTAAGGATAATTGTAGGTCAGTGGTTACCTAAGGAAACTCCGATTCGATCCGCCTCCTAAGGGAGGCATCTCATCCCGATCACAAGGAGAGGTTCACCATGATGGGGTACTTTTTTTCCCTTCCGGAAAGAATTGCTTAAGGGATTGGGGCAACCATTACAATTTACAAGATAATATTGTATTAATTATTTTAACCTTTTCTTTAGAACCAATAAGGATATACCCTCCACTGGACAAAAAAGTTGAACAAAAAGGACACAACATGAGCAGTATATGTTTGGGTATACTCTATGTGCTATCAAACTCTGAAACGAGTTGACTTGCCGGGGAAAATTCAAGGCAAGAGGGATGATTCAGTGTTTGTTTCAGAATGTGTTGTTTCAATATTCGTTCAAAACTTCTATTTTCATTCCTAACTTCTTTATAGAAGGTTAACATGTAAGGAAGTGGTTAAGCACCATACACGGGTCTGTATAAGATCCAGCATAACCTCTCCCAAGAACACGAGTTATTGGGATCAACTGGTTCATGACATGGTATATCAGAGCTTGTTTGTTCTTGAGGTCGCGTGTTCAAGTCCTCACGACCCCCAATATTGACCGTTGTCTTTCAAGCACATGGTATGACGGGTCTATGCAAACTTCAAGCCCATGAGTTGGCTTTCGTTTGAGGGGGCGTGTAAGGAAGTGGTTATACACGGGCCTGTATAAGATCCAGCATAACCCTTCTCCCAACAACTCGAGTTATTGGGACCAACTGGTTTATGACACAACTCGAGTTATTGGGACCAACTGGTTTATGACATAACATGTTCGTATGATGTATGATGAAGCTTACTAAATTTTATGTAATCAAAGTAATTAAACATATTTACACAAAAAAACTAATTAAACACATACCTTTATTTTAGAATAAATTCGTAACTATTTGAATAATGAGTTTATAATAGACCTTGAGTGTGATTTTGTACAATTTTAGACCTTTATTGTTATTTTGTGTCTTTCAAGAATATAATGCACTCAATACGAATATTGTTGGGGCCGGAGTTCAGGTCCTTAAGGCCTTTTTTTTAAGGAGGAACTTAAAGCGTTGTGATTGGTTGATTCAATTTTAGGTAGTTAAGGAGAAGTTATTAGTTAATTAACTATTAAGGATATTTAGGGACTTGTAAATAAATTTGTAAATAAATTAAAAACGTAACCCTAACCGTCTATAAACCCTTGTTTTATTTTTATTTTCCATGATCCGCAACCGAACCGTTTCTATTGTCGTCAAACAACGTTCTCCGTCCTCCTTGTCCGTTGTAGTCGCCGGCCGTTCCAAGCTGTCGTCGCCTAATTCCCTTCTCCCAGCCGATCCACTTCTCTCCATAAATCGATCGACGCCTCAACTTCCGACACAGCGAGAAGCAGCTTCGGCTTCTCTTCATCGACAGCCGAGAAGCGTGTAGCTTGCCGGCGTCCCAAACATTGCAACGAGCAACAACCTCGCCTTCCTTTCATTGACGACTGAGAAGCATGCAGCGCTATGTCATTATTAACATTTTTTGCTATTAACGTTATTATTGTCCATGTTATGATCATTAATAATATCCAATAACGTTAATAACCATTAGTTCTCATTGCTATCAAAGTTTTTTGTTGCATTTTCAATGAAACTCATGTTCGTTATTAACCGTTGTGTGGTAGCAGCATTATCAATGTCTTTTAAGGGAGCTATCATTGTTTTTGAAGAGAGTCATCAACAATTTGTTTTAACATTATTAACCATTAGGTCCCATCATTATCAATGATTTTCTTTGCATTTTCTACACAACACATATATGTTATTAATTGTTTATATTATGTTTGTCAACGTTTTTTTATGGCGATTTGGTTTTTCTGTAGGTTAACGAAATGACACAAACTAAGAATACTTCACTTAAGTCGGTTCCTCCTACAAACCGACCTAAGAGCGCGAGCAACCGAAGCAAAGAACAATAATGATGATAGGCTGAGTCTCATATGCAGTATGTCCCTAGTGTTGAAGATGGTAAAAAATATTAGTCCCCAACGTGCTATGTGAGGTACATCCACAAGTAATATACTATTTGTTGGTTAATAATGTAGAGAATTTGAGAACCCATTCTATGTATATATGCGAGTTTTGTAATGTTTGTTACTTTCTAATGATCGTGATTGGCTCTTTAAAAAAATCATATGTGAGTTTAATAACCTCCCCGTTGTTAAGGTATTTTATTTTTTGTGTTGTTAACATGTTTTGCTCCGTTTTTAGTCATTTTAATCATATTTCCATAACTTAGACCCATATAATTAAAAATTCAGACTTCATTATTAATATTTTTCAGGGAAGTTGTTAATTATAAATTTATCCATAATAACGGTTGGATAGAGGCTTCATTCTTAACGAATTTCACCCCAACTATCAACGGAAACTAATTATTAGTAACGTCTCTATTATTGGTACTTTTCGATATTAAGAATAAAGAGAACACTGTCATGATGAGTGATACTATTGTTCCAACCGCACGAAAAATATTTTCCAACTACATGTTAACAATCCAAGATAACGTCATCAACTTTTATAATATGATTTATCAACGATATGCAAAAATATTACCACCATTTTCCCACGTTAATAATGAACATTGACAAGATTAACAAACATATAATGTAAGATTCATAATCTCCCACAAAAACGTTAGTAATTGAAACAATGTTTGTTAATAATAATGTTATTGAATTGCAATCATAAGTCGAACAAAAAATATAATTATAAAACATTAATGATTAAATATTAAAATATTAATAACAAATGTTTCGTCAATCATGACATACTAGAACATTGTCAATAGAGTAGAAACACTGATACATATAATGTTAACAAAATCTTCAAAATCATGACTACTTTTACATTATAACTTTGATAATGACAACCAGTCACTATTTACATCAAATTAGCTATGTCAATATTCATTTTCTTGCCCGAAAACGAACATAGTATTTTTTTTATTTATTTCAGTATTTTTGATATCGTTATTAACAAATTAAAGTTACAGTTTTAACAATAATAAACCACATTATCAACCCCTATTATTGTACATTATTAACTGACCATGCAACAATTATTAATTATATTATTGCAATTATTAACATAATCAAGTTACATTTTTTAATAATATTGAACAACGTTATGAAAACATCTTATTAAACGGTAATGTCAATATTTTCGATACTGTTATTAACAAATAAAAGTTACAGTTTTAACAATAATACACCACGTTAACGTTATCAACCCATATTATTGGACATTATTAACCGACTGGGTGAATATTATCAATTGTATTATTACAATTATTAATCGGTAACGTCATCACTATGACAACACGATCACCCGTAAAAATAAATTTTACCATCCCTTATTAACATTTCCAAACAACATTATTAAAATCATTATCAACCAAATTGATCCATCAACGTTTTAACACACTCAAGTTACATTTTTTTAAATAATTTTAACATCGTTATCAAAATATCTTATTACCCCTTACTAATCGGCCGCGAGACAATTATTAATAAGATTATTGAAAATATTAAATAGTACATATCAACTTTTTACATCTCTTATCAACATTTCTATTCACGCTATTAACATAAAAACAATATTAATGAGACGTCACCAGTCGCGATGACGACAAACTGAGACGCGGCGCAACAAAGATGGACGAAAACGAGAGGGTGTCACCAACTCAGGGGCACGACGGCGGACGGAAGTCCAGCTAAAGTTCAGCGAGGGGTCACCAACTCGGGGGCGCGACGGCGACGACAATTGTCGAAGCGGTTTTAGGGTTGGGAGGATGACAGGGCTCGAAAATAAATATCCACACACGTTTGTTTTTTTTTTTCCAGTTTCATAATAGTAATTATTAATAGTTAATTTTTTACTCTATTCCCGTCTTACCCTTCCACGTTTCTGTTTGGTAGTTGGATAATGATTACTAATGATTCTCTCTCTCCCTCTCCTATTAGTTGACAAGGGTTTAAGATCTTCCTTAAGAAATAGGGCTTAAGGACTTTATCTAACCCGCGGCTCGGGTCTTCTTTTAAGTTTATTTAAAAGATTAACATTTATTTTTTTAATATTTATTTAATTTTAACATCACACAATTAACTGTCAACTATGAAAGTTGACTACCACGTCAACAAAAGTTAACGGAGTTGGACGGAGAGTGACCAAATTTGAAACGTTTGACTAATTAAAGTGACCACGAATGAAATTAAATATTTTTAGTGACTAAACGTAAACCTTTTTTTAATCTCAGTGACCAATGTTGCAATTTACCCCTTTGTTTTGCACTACAAAGTCGGAATAACAAGTACATATCGCCAACTTGCATTACTGAATACAGAGAATAGTAGTTGAATTCAATGGACATTCACTATCTCTGCTCATGGAATTGAGGCAACCATTACAATAGAAAATTATAGGAGTTACGATTAGCCAATCCGTTAGAAGCTTGGAGGGCATAACTTCGACTTGACAAACAAGTCAGACGAAAAGGACGCAACATGAACAATGTCAGTTTTCCTATCTGGTGGGTATACACTATGGTATCAATCTTTCAAACGACTTGATTTTCAGGGAAGACGTGAAGGCAAGAGGGAATGATTATGTATTCGTCTCGAGGGGTGTTGTTTCAAAATTTGATCGAAACTTCCTTTCCCATTCCAACTTCTTTCTTACTTGTCATGTCGTTCACTCTTGGGGAGCAAATCATTCCTTCGGAACCGAAAACCAAACCTCATACCTGCATCCCACATGAAATGCAGTTTAATAACGCTAATTGTCTTTTACTAGTAATTTCCTGGATTTTGGAAAAACCAGATAAATAGAGTGCGTGGAGACAAGCTTACCGTAAGATTTTCTTGAGAAGAACTTCAAGATTTCGTCAATAATTATAACCTGAAGCATAAGTAAATATTGTTGGAAGCAACTTTGAAAACAAAAGAGAAGTGCTAGACTGAAGACCAAGGACTGATTGAGGTATGCATGCAGAAAATGCAACATTCTTGACTACATATCAAGACTGTCAGGGGTGTATAAACGATATAGCTCAAAATGACTATGGTAGTCGGGTTTCGATTCACAGTACACAACATGGAGAAAAGCACCCAGGTAAAGAAGATGGTAATAGAAAATATTTATCCTAATCTCACCCAAGAGAACACTAAACTAAACAGCCAGTTTCTAGAGATTTATTTATCTTAAAGGAAGTAAGAGATGAATCAAATACTTACAGGGAACGAAAGATATAATACGATTTTCCATTCAGCCCAAGACAACGGTGTCACCTGCAACATACGTTAAATAGCTGATCATTGATACAATCCTCGTGCTTGTGGGCATAATGAATGAACCATTAGTAACAGTTAAATGATACAGCCAAAAAGAGAAAGCACTTACAGAGAAAAGAATAGACAGCGGAGGGACATATAAGATTAGTACGTGCAGGAGCATGGTTAGTGCGATTGAACCCACAAGCCACATATTACTCCAGGGAGGAATAACACTAAGAGTAGAGAGGAAATATCAGAGAAAGGTTGGACAAACTATTAAAATACGGCTATCATCTCAAATAGAGGAAAGAATGAAGTGTGAACTCACAGAAGAGACTGATTTTCGCTGAGATTATTCAAAGCATTAAACATCTCAACAACAACAAGCACAGTCATTGATACAGTTGATGGATGTCGATCCTCAAATATGGTGCATGGATAAGTTGTCTCCCTTGTCGGGCATGTGTCAAAATTCATCTGTGATAAAAACAAGACTTTTCAAACTGGACATCAAACTAGATGCAAGATGAACTCATGCAATCATTTATAGTGTTTGCACCCATTTAATACGTCAGTTAGCAAAGGTAGATTTGGAAAATAAAAGATGGATCTCAACTTCTATTACTGGCCAACTATTCTGCTAGCCATGATTTTTGCAATATGAAACCCACGGAAGAAGAAACAGAACTTTAGCGTCCTTGTCATAAACAGCATAGATATTTGTTGTTTTAGTGTTGAATCTTACCAGTTCTCTATATGGTAATTTAGGACCGCCATCTGAGTACAAGAACCACCAGACAAACCCTGCAACTGTGGCCAGGCCGACATAGGCTGCATCCATGGAACATTATATTCAGTACATTCTAATGACTTCGAACTTAAAAGTGAATTTGGAGCAACTTTTGTTTTTCTCTTTTAAATTAATACTATATCATCCCTATAAAAAAAAAGTGAATTTGGAGCACATGCGATCACTCATCTACATATGCCAATCAAAGTGAATCTTGTTCAGGAAATTGGCTGGATGAACAATCAATGCCTAGAATCAATAAGCTACAGCACCAATTACCTCCAATCACCAAATATCGGAAAAACAACCATCCACTAACAACTGCTTCATTGATCTGCACAAAGAATTGAGAGAAAAGTTGCTGATGTACCAAGGCTCAAACAAGTTGTCCAACACGAATTTAAGATTGACTCAGATAAGGCAGAAAAAGGTTGGGATCTTTCAGGAAGTAGCAGATATTATGTATGATATAGGAAGTTTTTAATTGTTGACTTGTGCAGCAGAATTTAGCCGAAAAGGAAAAAAGCCAGGAAGATTTTAATCAAGGCATTTACATCTAAACGCATAAGTTCAAGGTATGCCACTTTAGTTTTGCTCATCCTATACAGCAATCCTCTACTCATACTTTAATACCAAAAAATAAAGTAACTTCCTTCTTTTAGTGTTTAGAAAGTTAATACCAAATAATTGTTTGTATGATACTATAATACCTTCCGAGGCTTGGCCTTCATAACGTCACTATCTTGCTTATTGAAACCAATTGCAGTTGCAGGCAAGCCATCAGTCACCAAATTCACCCAGAGCAGCTGGACCTATATTTTATGCAGAAAACTTACACCTCAAATACCAGCAAGAAGCCATAATAGGATTTTCAATCTTGAAACATGGCAGACAATGAACATGGAAAAGATAACTCTTCTAACATTTGAATACTGTGCATGTCCCTTGCACTTGGATTTGGCTACTATCATAATAATTTTTCTGAGCACCTCCTCAGTTTCAGGCGATTCAAATTGACTTTTAAGAAAGTTATTCAAGTAGCCAAAACAAGTCGGTCAACTGGAGGAGATTCAACTTTCTTTTATAAGGGTGATATAGATTACATTTTTTTTAATTAGGTGCTATTTAAGGGATTTGAAACCTCCAGGTTCAAGACCAGTGGTATTACCACTGGACCAAACCCTTGTTCGCTCGGAGGAGATTCAACTTAAAGTGGAGTTTCCACAACATACTAAATGCTGCTTCTCAAATGTACAACTGTAAGCAGCATAATGGTGCTAAGCTAATGAGATAATCGATTCTCCAGAACTCTTTAATGAAAGAATGAGAGATTCCCTCTGCCAAGATGCAATCACGTAAACAGTAATGTATGCCATGAAAAGAACAAGGATTACTTCCTGACATATAACTGAACTAAAAGGCTCCAAAGTAAAAGCTATTTCAAACATATATTCTTCATGTTTAATGAAAACAAGTTGAACCATAGCAAACCCACAAACCAAATGAACTCACAGGAGCTAAGGTGTCCGGTATTCCTAGTACAGCTGCAACGAAGATACAAACAACTTCACCGATATTTGAGGAGATCATGTATCTGATGAACTGCTTAGTGTTATTATAAATTGCCCTCCCCTCTGCAACAGCCTGCCAAGGAACTGTATTAGCTCGTAAAAGAACAGTAGACGCACCACCCAAGATCAATATTTGCTTATGACTTATTTTGGTAACTGACAACAATTAAGTTGAACAGAACAAGCTAACAACCTAGCTAGTTCCCACATGCTGATCACAGCCAACTGTGGGCACAAGCAAACTTTGAACCACAAATTTATTAACAAGTTAGCAAGCAACCATCAATCACCCAGTGGAAGCTGAAGTACTAATTGGTAACTTCTACCCTAACAACAGAATGAATGGCCGCGTGAATAAATGAGAGAGAGAGAGAGAGAGAGAGAGAGAGAGAGAGAGAGAGAGATGATAAACGAAAATAATCGTTGTAAATTGGTACTCTTAAACAAGGTGCAAGCACATGTTTGCTTAGATGTGTGCCTCATTTGCATTGTGCATTCAATTTTTAAACCATAAATCAGGATAGCAAATAATGGCATACAGATTTCAGTACACAAATTATAAGCCATTGCTACTCAAATAGTGGGGAGATAAACTGTACCGCCACGATAGAAGCAAAATTATCATCGGCCAACACCATATCAGATGCGCTCTGGAACAGTGAAGATAAAAACTTGTCAGAGCTTAGATTGATTTCTTTTTTTCTTGAAATGATTCTGGATAATATATGAGAAAACAACCGACAGATATGGCTATTGATCTAGAAAGCTACTACCTGTGGGAAAGAGGGGAGGGGGCTCATACACAGATAAAGCAAGTGTGAAGGAGCAACCAAGTCGATGACATACTCAAAAGTGCAAATTGCATGTGTTATGTACAGTGACAAATTAAAACAAAGGCAGGGGATATTATGACCTTTGCAACAGCTGTTCCAGATCCCATGGCAATACCAATGTCTGCCTTCTTAAGGGCAGGTGCATCATTTACCCCATCACCAGTCATTGCCACCTAGAAGTTGCATGGTTCAAAAATCGCAGAATGCAGTAAGCAAATGACAAAGTGGAAACACTACCAACCAGGAGCCTTCATCTTGCTTAAGGAATGCAGGTGACCAAACAGTAAATACCTCAAAAGAAAAGGTCTAGACAATAGAAAAGTTATCCTACCTTGTTGAATATTACTATTTCCTTTGCATTTATAAATTCATCGGTGAAAATTTAATTTCTGCCGGTGAGAGGATGAACAAATGACACATATGTCAAACATAGATATTTCATTTTTTAAGGGTGACAGCAGATATTACTAGTGCTACTCTTCTTTTGAGAGGGGTGAGAGAGTGTGGGAAACACAATTATTTGCAGTTTTTGGTTATTTCGTATTAGTGTCGGTTTTTAATGATTGGGGGATTATTTGGGTATTTGGGGAATAAACAGGGAGTCTATTGTTACGTTTTATTATTTGGGTAGCAGATAGGAATTAGACAGGCTATATAATCTGTAGTAGTGGTCTTATTTTTCATTAAGCAATTACAGAACCAAAACCCTAAATCCTGATCTCTCTCTCTCCCTCTCTCCTGCGTGTTCTTCCCCTCTCTCTTCTCCTCCAAAGCTGCGGCAGCAACAGCCCATTCTTCCCCTCTTCTTGTTCTAAATCCCCAATTCTAATCCCTAGTTTGATCAATCCCTAATTGATCTAGCTAAATTCCCCAATCCCAAGACCGTTAGAAACCTTGTTTCTAACAGAGAGAGAGGAAAGATTCAAACGACATACCACTTCGTTCTGATGTTGCAAAGCCTCCACCAGCATTTTCTTGTGAGATGGCTCCACCCTAGGTTGTCTCAGAAGAGATGATGTCAGTCCATCACATAAATAATTTAAAAATCCAAAAACATATCAAAGGGCTCTTGCTGGAATAGAACAATGTTTGTACCTAGTAAAAAGTGCCATGCGTTGCAAAGCAAGTGTTTGCTGCAAAGGTGGAAGTTCTTCGAACTCTGAGGCTGTATACGAATGCCCAGTAAAATCTTCCAAATGATCAAAAGCACCAATCTTCCGGCAAAGTGATTCTGCTGTTGACTGGATAGCAACATCAAATAAGACAACTAAAATATTTATAACGACACTACAGCAGTCAATTAACATCTAAATAAATGTTTGATTTACCTTGTTATCACCCGTTACAACAATGACGCGTATACCAGCAGACATGCACGAGAGCATAGCATTCCTCACTTCTTCTCTTGGTGGATCAAGCATTCCGACCTTAGAAGAAAAAAATTGAGGAAGATCATCATAAGAACAGAGTAATACAACCATATAGCTTGCTGAAATAAATTCTTTCAAGTTCAGTGCAAGCAACTAAGCTGCTACAGGAATAAACATTTTGGAACAACATTTGCATAAAAAAAAAAAAAAACTTGACCAATCAGCATACAGTACCAACATCAAGCTAAGTCATGAAAGAGAACTGCTAAAAGAATAGGGGTTTTGGGAAGGGAGTGAAAAAAAAATAATTGATAATGATCCATTCTAAATTATAAAAACTGTTAATGTTTTTGAACAGAAGGCATACCAGCCCAATGAAAGTCAGGTCCTTCTCATCGTGTGGAGAGAGGCTCTGCTGCCCCATTGGTATCAGTTTCATGGCCAAGGCCAGGCATCTCAAAGTTTCATTTGCTGCAAAACTGACCAAAAACAATGACTCAACTAGTGAAAAGAAGTAACAAGATATTACTTTAGGAACATGGAAAGCAGTAAGATCAGGAACATGATATTGCATGAGCATGATCAGGCACATCCTGGATGTATTCTGGTGAATGGTGATAGCTGATGCCAAAATGAGATATGCAGTCAATAACTTGTGTTAACAACCTTCACAATGCAAAATGCACCACCTTCATGAGAAAATGATTCTCAGGCCAACATGCATGAATCGTGATCAATATCCATGCAAATTGGAGTGCGCCATAAATATCATATAAATGCACATTCAAACTGGAAAATCAAAGGACACCAAGGCACATCAATACTGAAAAGTACGTAGAAACTGAAGATCGGTAGCCTACAATCTAGTATGGAAAGACACAAAGACTTCTTCAGATAGAGCAGCTTGACCAAAGACATAAGAAGCTATGCATATTACAACCAATGACACCATGGATCAAAATTAAGAATTGAGGAGAGAAGTGCATAGAAGGTAACAAATGCTTTAAAAGTTATCCAGAAAATGACTGCACAGCATGTCTCAAATTGGGTTCTCCATCTATGAAGCGAATCTCCGAATCTCTTTCACTAGCAAGAGAACAATCAACCAATCGAAAGATGTGTGATAATGACCTTCTATGGTAATCAGATGCTTGTAAGGATTTCAAAGACAGAACAAAATGGTTTGCCAAATTGCTTACCTGTGGAACCTTGACTCTAATTCATCCCGAATGCTAGCAGACATAAGAACTGTGGATCCACTGTCATTACAGAGGATATGCGAACATCTTGACAAAATGCTCTCTGGGGCACCTTTAGAAAACATAATTTGGGTGTGCTTTTGAATGCATAAGACACTCATCATTTTCCTATCACGAGAGAAATCCAACGTAGAAACCTGCAGATAAGATAACCAAGCAAATGTGCTGTAAATTGGATTCAGCATAACCTAGAAATAGAATTGGGCAACAGAAAATAGGAACTTAGCACAGGTAAGTCGCTCAACATCATAAACTGTCTGCCTTGAACACTTAAAATATCTACATAACTCACGATTTAGTTGCCGAATCAAAAAACAAGATATTTGTCCAAAAATTACTGAAGATAACAAAATATTTGTCCAAGTATCCCATTTGTAAAGCTTACCTTTCGGAATTGATTTTCCCAATAATGATTACAGTAAGATGCACGCTCGTGCTTGCTAAGCATGTTGAGTGCAGAAGAAATAGAATCAAAACCAGGGAGACCAACCTGCAAATTAGAAGCTAATATAAATAGGCTCTTCGTACTGAACTGTAGATACTCAAGTAAAACATAAATATAGAAGAGGGAGAGAGCCAGAAAATAGCACGGAAAATATTAAATACCAATTGATAAAGTTAAAGCGGTTAAACAAGTCAAGATGCAGAACAAACCTTCTCTGCTAGAACCCGTAGTGCAACTTCAGTTGATTCCCCAATTTTTTCGTAGCAAGCTTTGTCTGGATTGTATTGCAGGACGGACTCGTTGCAAAGAGCTGAACACATGGCTAGGTGAAAAAGACTGGGCAACTTAGCTGGAAGTTCAAGCTGCAAAAAGAACCAAATGTCCCCAGATAAGTAGTCAAATGCCAACTAAAGGCTTCTAAAATAGAGAAGGGTCAGCATTGCTCATGAACAAGGCATAGTTTGACATTTCTCCTTGCATAAGGAAATATGCCCACTTCTGAAATAAGCTATGCCAGCCAACACTGGCAACCATTCGAGTTCTCAATTCCAGGCTTGCTTGAGAGTCGTATTAGATTTCAAACTCAAAAACATACCGGAACATGTATGCTGCCCAAGTGCCATATGCATTGTTTGAAAAGAATCATATAAATCACCAAAATAAAGCATACCTGCAATCCATTGTTGTCATATATAATTCCTTCTGGAGCATATGTGGTCCCACTAACACTGTACTCGGTGATCAATGGACCATGGTGAAAAGAGTCCAAAACGCATATCTGAGGAGATGGTAGCAAGGCACATATTGTAAATAATAAATAAGAAAATCTGAGGGTTATTGTTGTCTAACAAGAAAATGCAAATATACGAGTGTAAAGATCATCTTATTCTCATAAGCAAGGGGGAAATGAGTCTTTCAAGAGGCTACATGTATTTAAGAGTATGCTCTTTTACCTTTTCATGAAAACAAATCATAAGATGTAAAAATAAAATATATTAAAGAGGTTCGAGCAAAAGATCCCTCCATGTAACCTTTGAAGGCTTCTCCGTGATTCTCGATATTATGCCTTTGTTCTGTTTGTTCTCTTTCCATGCATAGCTCTTGCGGAAGGCTACCATATCTTTTTTTATAAAACTATCAAAATCCTAAGACTCCAACCCATTTTGTTTTTCTATTATTAAAAAAAAAACCTTTCCTTTTTGCATATATTTTAGATTTTTTTAAATGCCCATGTAGTGTTCTTAGTGAAATAAATAAATCCTGTTTAGCACCTTTTTTACTAACACTCTTTCTGCCTAAATTTCATATACGAAAAATACTTTTCTTTTTAAAAGAGGATTCTGTATTCGAAACTTCTACAATGGAGTAATGGACCATAGATTTTAAATTGTTTAAAACAGATCAAAATCTTTGTAATACTTTTATTTTGGTAGATAAATGTTTACATAAAAACCTACATCACTTTATAAATCACCATTAAATTTCATTAAAAAAAAAAAGGGTTTCACCAACCTCCATCAAAGATGATTCACTATTTCTGTGATCAAGTTAGTCGGTGTTCAATATTTCTCAACTAAGGATGGAGTGTCTTGACTTAACATAATTAATAGAGTATTTTGTAGTTGGTTGAAATATTAGCTCATAAGTAAAGTTTTCACAAACCATAATTGAAGTCACACGGGAAAGACGACAAAATATTTGATACGAGGAAAAGATAATTGCGGAGATGCACACCATACACATCACAATTGTACTGTAAAAAACATTATTAATGGCACTGCTTTGGTTTGCCAATATGATCTATTGATTTCCTAAATAATATCAATGACATTTACTAAGACTAGACACAGCAGCAGCTTAATGAAGATTTAAAATAAGAAGAAAAAAAAATACTAGTTTATCAGAGATTTGTGCTCCCGGTGATACCTTTGAGACAGACATCATATTTGTAGTCAAAGTTCCTGTCTTGTCACTGCAAATGACAGTAGTGCAACCTAAAGTCTCGACAGATGGCAAAGACCGGACTATGGCGTTCAACCGAGCCATGCGCTTTGTTCCTAGAGCCAAACACCTGTACACAGATATCTCAAATAATGCAGCAAACTACCAACTGAAATTTCTTAAATTTTAGAACCCAAAATTAGTGTTAGAACATCAATTCCTCGAGTTATCATCTACATCATTGTTACCATTGACAGTAACATATTCCAAATGCCACTCGCTTATTATCGGCTTTACTTGAATTTCAGAAATATAATGTATCGGGGGGAAACAAAGAAGCACGCACGTGGTAACAACAGCAGGAAGTCCTTCAGGAATCGCGGCAACTGCAAGTGCAACTGCAATCTAAGAAAACACAATAAGTATCCAACATCAAAACACAAAAGGAGAGAACAAAACTGAGAATCTCAGAGGTGAGTTGAATTGAGTTAAAAAGATGAATCACAATGCACTACACACATAAATCAAAAAGTTTGCAATAGATCCACAGCCATAACAGGAAAGGTTCCAGATCCAAGCTAGTTCAACAAATATGATGACAAGCTTGCAATAGGAAATATAGTTACAGGCTATTACCTTGAAGTAATGGATCGCACCTCCGAAGAAACCTCCATGAGCGGGGTCGCGAAAATGACCTATGTTTACAATCCATACTAGCACACAAATCCCTGCAATGACCTGAAAACACAACAACATCTATAAATACATTCACAGCAAGAGTTTATTGGAATGGTGAACATTTACAAAGTTTCAAATTTCCATGCATGACTGGTAGACATCTCTAGAAGATCAATTAAAAGCTTCAAAGTATCTACTGCAAAGGATAAACTTCATTAGTAAATCATGCGCTTCCAGACAGGAAGGACAAGCCAACCAGTGAACAGCAATGCTGGATAGAAGCTCAACATGATTGCATAGCAGCTTTTTCGGGACTAGAGAGAAGACCAAACAGCCATGAACCCAGGAAGCTGCTGAACTAATATAATCCAATTACATAAGGCTGGATGCTGGTAAAAAGAGATAGTATTAGAAGATCTATGATTCCAACAGTCAATTCAAGACTTCTTAAGTTTTGTTGTTGACAATAAGCAGATGACCAGGACCTGTCGATACCAAGTTACCAACTAGACAAAGCATTTTGAGCTGATTAATAGATATGTGAATTATGATCTGTTATCCCATTAATATGGCACATTAACACACAGGATAAGCAACAACGGGGAAAGTTGGTAAATGGTATAACCTTAGCGAGAAAACTGCCAAACTCATCCAACTTCTTCTTAAGGGGCGTAGCTTCCTGCAAAAGTTCAAAGAACAGGCAACCATATAGACTACTCAGACAAAACTCTATCTTCTCGAGATAAGTAGACTACATAACACAAAGAATGGTCCAATAATATCCAATATAGTACCAGTTCTCTCAATTTTGACATCCACAATAAATAAAAGATCAAATGACGTAAACATGAAGATGAAATACAGAGATCCAATCATGGTAATTGAATCAGATTTTGAGAAAGATGGGAAGCAAGATCCTTATGCTTACATCATCAGTATGTAACATTGAATCTCGTATGCTCCCCATAGCAGTATTAGCACCAACTCCGACGACCACAGCTCTTCCCCTGCCTGCTACCACCACAGTACCCTGATAGACAAAATAGATATAACTAGCTTGTGAAAGGAGCCACAGCCATCTATCCATCACTTAGAAGGGAAAAGAATCACAGTGGGTTCGGATCTGAACATCTACAATTAGTCCCTCAGAAATCTAAAGAATCAAGGTATGCACAGCATCCACAGAAATTAACTTGGCCAAGTACCCTTTCCCCTCCACAGATTTTCTTAAAACAGTCTGGATAGGAAGAGCAGAAGCCATGTCAAATTCAAAGTCTTGAAAACTATCTGAACAACTCGATTTGTGATGTGCAAACCAGGAATCACAATATAGGCCTCTACTTTGAGCAGCAGTTAGTTCATTGATTCCAGGAGAGAGAAGTATTCGTCAGCGTAAGTATTATGTCCTAAACATTGTTTCTTCCGACACCCAATCTCTTCATGCCTATGACAAAATAGGCTTAGCCAAACTGGTCTAAGATATCCCAAGGCAGATGCCACAGTATATTAAACCATCGTCTAGCTCTCAACTTATGCCAATTGAAAGTGCACAAGTATAGCTACAATACCGAGAAAAGAATATTCGTTTTGTCTTGATATACAGCATTGGTTGCAACAGTTGACTCGAGCTCTTTCTCAGCTGAACTGCTTTCACCTATTATCATACACCAAAACATCAGATACACTCCCCAAATATGCATATTTGCACACTTAATGAATAACAATCTTCGATAAAGTTGATTAAGAGAAGGAGATCAAATCCATATGCCACTTTAGCATTCACAACAAGAGAATGAAAGGTAAGGCATACACAAAATTTATGCTTCTATATTGCCACATAATAAGAGAGGAGACCAAGGTGATCATTCACCAAACCAAAGTACAGCTCTGAACACAATACTTCATACAGAGAGGTCTACAACCAAGACCTGATGGTATGGCTAGGCAAAAAGCACAGGTACAAATAAATTATTAATATACTTCACTGCAACTTCCAATTATTAACAAACATAGTCAACTGCCTAAGGTAGTTGGCCAAAACATAGATGCAATACACAAGACAGACTCTTTTTAGTAGACAGCAGCCACCGTCATAAAACCAAGCCCTGACATGCATCTCAACAGTAAAATTAACTTCAAAATGTGGGTGCAGGACATTACATGTCTTATCAATGAATTCAACAAAATGCAGCAACAGAACAATTATAAACGCAAGTACCCACCTAACAAACATTTTAGATTATAGAATCAATATATGAAGGTTGATAAAGTGAACCAAACCAAATTTCAACATGCATTAGTTTGCTCATTGAGTAAGGAAATTTGAGACGGAAGGGAACAAAAAAAACATACATACCAGTTAGGATTGCCTGATCGACGCGCAACTGATCACTTAACATCTCAATCATTCTCATGTCAGCTGGAACCTTGCACCCCACTATTTTAAAACAGGAAACTCAAATTCTGAGGTGCAGAACATATTAACATTGAGCAAATACAGTACCTCCTGAACACAATAGAAACTTACCTGTGACTTCAACTATATCACCTGGAACAAGCTCCGTTGCTGGAAGTATGGAGAAACCCCCTGCAATAGGTTTAAAGTTAGAAGGGTTGAAATGCTTTTAGTGGAAGGAAATACTCTCCAAAATGAGGACCTAAGAAAAGAATGCCGGAAGACTACAGTGCCTTCAAGTTAAAAATGAATATTGCAAATAGGAACCTTACTTAAGCTAGCTTTTCACCCTTAAGATATAATAAGGTGATGCAGCTGTTGGATTCACCGATTCTAGAGTGGAGAATCTTAAATCCTTGACACAGACATTGGCCTAAGCGCAAACATCCTCGTAATTTTTCAGGGTCTTACATCTAGAATCTTAAGTATGGAATGGCCATATTTGATCTGATCAGGACTCCTTACTCTCTTGCTCGTAGTATTTTAGCTAGGAATCTCTACTTCCCCAATAGGTATAGAGTTCACTTTCTTGCATGAGTGAAGTTATCGACTTGGATACTCCATATCGAAGTCAGGTGAGGTCTACTACTATTTCATAACCACCAAATCACTAGTTCAGTAATTCCATATAGTATTTTAGCTAGGAATCTCTACTTCCCCAATAGGTATAGAGTTCACTTTCTTGCATGAGTGAAGTTATCGACTTGGATACTCCAAATGTAAGTCAGGTGAGGTCTACTACTATTTCATCCCCACCAAATCACTAGTTCAGTAATTCCAGAGCATCCTCCTCCAGCAGTCTAAACCCAGAAGTATTCAGGTTTGAAGTTGCAGTATAAAAAATTTCATGGTAAGAAATCATAAAGATGGGCAAGCCAATACATATGAAGCAAACGCTATGCACCAGTCACTATGAAATCTTAAAACTGTAACCAGGAAAAACAAAAACTTATAGAAAAACAACATTTTAGCAACAAATACAGTACACTCTTTATATGATTGTGCATTTAGACTTAATGTACCATTTCGCAGCACAGTCGCCACTTCAGCTTGATAGGCACGTAGCTCCTACAACCAAAACACAGATTGCATTAGCAATAAAGTTTTTTCAGCTCAAAAAAAAAAATTAGAAGAATCACAAATCAGCAGCAATTTTCAGCAACATCAATCATCTCCCAACAAGCAGTGATTTGGCATATAAACATCGCCTGAAAGATTTCAAGAGGAGCTAAAAAATATTTTATTAAATCAAGTAAGACATATACTCAATAATCTCCTACAGTTAATCAACATCTTATTCTTATGAGAGCAGCCATACAGCAGCCCACCCGCACGAGAAACGCAAGGACATAAAAAAACTCTCACTGGTGTTAGCACACATGATTAGTCAAATGAGCTTGTGTAAAAGATTGTAGAAGCCATTCTGCAACCTCACAAGAACAGAGGTGCGATGACTCAACCATGTGAGCACAGACCTAAATATACTACCTAGTTTTTTTATACCAATATCCAATAGAACCGATTACCTATATTTGGGATGTGATCACTTGTAAGAGTTAAACTTATACTATCAGTTTTGGTAGTTGGAATATGACACAAGGCAGCAAGGACCTTTTATTAGGATAATTAGCTTTCAAAATGAGATGTTGAAGAGTGAATGCTGGAAGAGGGTAATGAAAATGGAAACACATCCAGTATATATTAGTATTAGCATATATCTCCATGAACCAGAGCTAGAACGAACCTCAAGAGCCTTTTCAGCATTTGTTTCTGTAATAACCCCAACTGCAGCATTGGCAGCCAAAATCAAAAGAATAACCTGTGCCAGCCAAATTATCAGTATAGAAAAGCCGTAAGTACGAACATGCAGATTATACAAAGGCTATGCATTCTAAAATTAACCAAAACAGTCCAACACAATATGCAATGTGTAACAATGCAGAGAATGCCACTAAAAGCACCATGAACTCTTTTTTTCCATCACAGTATACATGATAAAAACAAAACCCTCTCATCGAGAGAGCAAAAAGCAAGATACATGATAATACATATTACACCGTGAATTGGACAAGCATTATATGAAAAAAACAAGAATCAACTTCACCAAACTAAAAGATGTGACATCTTACAAAAGGCTCCACAAAGGCAGTCAGGCCAGTCTCCCCATTAATCAAAGTCAAAATGAAAGACACTATTGCAGCAGCTATCAGTATCTTAACAAGCAAATCATCAAACTGTTTCAGAACCAATTTCCAGAAAGGAGTTCCTGCAATGAGTAACAGAAAAAATGCATATAAACAAGCCAGAAATTTTCTCATAAAGTCATTAGCAATAGGAGTATATGTGAGGATTCAAGTATTACTGCCGTGAGATCAGATTGCTAAAAATTTAATAATCACGGATCAGATGAGTTCCAAACCAAAATGTATCTCCGGATAGAATAAGAGCTGCTGATACAGTTATTATATTAAATAGTTATTATACTTCGATAAAGATGACGAATCATAAATTCACTTACTTGACTCTTCAGGCAGCTCTGCATATCATTCGGGGAACATGCAGCAAAGAATACTAGCGTTAGAATTTACAGAGAGAAGAAAATCTCTACTAGACCGTCGAATGCCGAAGCTAGACAGAAACTAGTAGCATACCGTTTCTGCCGTAAATTTTGGCATGAAGTGCAACCTGGACAAAGAAATATAGAGAACCTGAGAACTTGCCCAAAAATCTGTTCAGGGAACTATAGCTGAATAACAAAAAGAAAAGCTTGGAAAATTAGCGACCAGCAGAAACGCGAGCAATGTCCACAAAAGTACCTGCGAATCAGTTAATCCCTTCGACGGCTCCACTCCGAAGAAATCCAGAACCTGCAGATTGACCAAAAACGAACAAGATCAGTTGCATAGCAGAATACTCACAACTCAACCGTCCAAATGCCTCAAATCTCGCCGATGATTCAGGCGCAGCAGAAGCGAACGGGTGAAACAGCGCAATCACCTCCGGTACGGATCTGGCGTAGGCGTCCTCCATCGGAGAAAAGAGGAATCGCCGGATGGAGAGGGAATGCTCGTCTTCTCCGGCTTCTAATCTCAGAGTTCCGTCCTCATGATTGTCCTTCGATATCTCGGTTCGGCCTTGAGAAAGCGTTCGGATGCACAGTTGAAAGTGGACTCTTGTGAGTTGAGAAGAGCAAAGAACTGAGAAATGGAGAAGGTGGGAGGTTTAGCGGTTAAGATCCGAAAATGGGCCTTCTCTCGTTTTACAGAGAGAGAGAAATTGCCTTGGCTGGGTCGGCGGTGGGTCCAATCCAAATCGACAGTTTCGGGGCGAAGATAGACAGAGATATGAGACGTTACATTCAAGCAAAACGGACGTTAGGTGGTATTTTAAAAATGATGAAAACGGTGTCCGTCGCGAGTTTGTACCAGACTGGGCCCAGTGAGCCCAATAGCGGCAGGAACTCGGGGAAGTCCCATGATTGGGCCTTAGCCTGAGGAAGAGCGGGATTCAAGAACCCTCACAAACATGAAACAACACATCCCATCCATTTTTAACTAACTAAACTTTTTTTTTTTTTAAATTTATGTATGCTTTGTTTTATTAAAGGCGCTTAACAACTTTAGCATTTGAAATCAACAACGAAAAAATAGAGATAGTTGCTATGTTGTCCCACAGCTCTTGAGTATCCCAATGGTACTTTGCGTGGCCCATCATGTGGGCTACTCTTTTACACTCTCAGCAAAAGCTCGTTCCACCTAACCAATCCTCTGGGACTCGGTCGTTTTTGTGACTTCCAAAACAAACAGGTTGGAGCGGTTGAGCTTGAAAATTGCCTGGAAGTAGTATGTTTCGATGATCGCTAGTCTTAGACCCTTCATTTTCGCCATTCTTGGAGCAAAGGCAATCACCTTGAGCTCTATAACATACATGAAAATGGGAGATTAAAGGCTTGTTTTGAACCAAGAGTATCACTCTACACAATGGACTATGTGGGAGATCAAGGAGAGGACAAGAAGGTCACTTCCCAAGCTCATCAAGATGCCTCCTCAACTCAGGGAACTGTCAGAATTTGACTAAGTGTAAAACCAAGCTCATGAATACTACTTTGGAGCTCAATTTGAGAAGGAAGATTGTTAGTCGAGTCCAGAGGCTTACATCACATGAAAAGTAGGTATAATCAACTACAAAGACGTGGAGTTGGATGATTGATTTGATACCTCGAAGGCTTCAAACGAAAGCAAGCAAGATCGTCGAAAGTCTGCCTAACTGCCTTGCTTACCACGAAATCCGAATCCTCTGCGGATTAGCATTACTTAGCCTTTTCTGTTTTGGCACTTTGATTCCGAGTTTGTGTTTAAAACTCTCGTATTAGTTTGTTTACCTAGCCTAGCTCTATTTAAGTCTTTCAATTGCATTGTAATAGTTAGATTATTGATTATTGAATACAAACGTGAGTTTTGGTTCATTGAGCTTTTGCTTCGTGAATTGCTTGAGTTTCTTGGTGGATTCTAGGCGACTTGTGTGCTTGTATCGATCAAGTAAACACCTATCGTGGTCAGCTTCTACCTATATCTTTCCAGCCTTCTTCCTAGTGTAAGATTGCACGAAAAGTTCCATCGAAAACCCTTCTTAAACGACCATGTTCTTGTACGAGGTTCGAGTTGAGTTCAATTCAACTCGTGGCTGAGTAATTCTAATCAAAGAGACCCATCTAGGGCTCATCAAGTGGTATCAAAGCATGGTTCAAACATAGTGGCAAGGAAGACGACTTCGACGGAGGAAGCATTGCCAGAACTATGTGTTGAACAAGGTCGAAGGGCCCTGTTTCCGGTGACCGTGAGGTTCTTCTCTCGGAATAGAAGAAGAAGAAAAAGCAAGCAACTATGGATTAACAACAACCCGTTACGATGGCGGCCTTGTAGCAGTTTTTCAGGATAATTTTGATCAGGCAATTGGCCGAGCTTCAATTTAGAGTCAATCACCCTTCTCCATCGGAGGATGTAGCAAAGCACGACAGGGGACGACGAGCTCAGGCCGGGGAACAAGTTCATTGCGAATCCAACACTGTCAATCGAGAGCTAGTGGCTCGAATAAAGAAATCGAACAGAGGTTGGTGCTTGACAACCCTGAGCAAGGCAGACGACATCACGAATGACGAGAGCGACAGCCTGAAGCAGAGCCGACAATCCCACTGGGAATTAAATTATCAATTCTGGCGTTTCAGGACACGACTAATGAAGCAACCTTCTTGGATTGGGAGAGGAAGTTAATCCTTCTCTTACAGTGTGGAAATTACAGCAAGCAACAGAAGGTAGCCTTAGCTTCCTACAAATTTTTTTACTATGCTACTCAATGGTGGGAACAAGCACGTCTCTGGCGACAAAGAAATTTGCAACCAGAGATTACAACGTGGTCAGAATTGCGCGGATTGATGAGGGACATGTTCATTCTCGCTTATTACCAGTGCGAGTTACATGAATCTCTGCAAGGAACTCGATAGGGATCGTGGAGTGTGGAAGAATATTTCCGAGAGATGGAATTGCTCATAATGAGGGCCGATGTTTGTGAAGACAGGGAGCAACAATTTCACGATTTCTCCATGGTCTAAACTGTGAAATCCGACATGAAGTCAACTTGAGATCGTTTATCGATCTGGAAGAAGTAGTGCACCTAACCGTCAAGATAAAAAAAATAGCAGAAAGCGACGACGAGTAGAAGGTACGCTCTGGTAACCAAACTTGCGCCAGAACCGGTAGTTGACTCTTATCCTCCTCAATCACGGCCTAACACTAACAAGTTGGCTGCCAAGAATGCCCCTCGAGCTACGACAATTGAATCACTAACCGCAGTTGCTGGACTAACACAACAATTAGCTGTGACAGTCTCTGTTGGCAGAACGGACAGGAGGCATTCAATGCTTCAAATGTCATGGAAGGGGCCATAAGGCAAATCAATTCCCAAATCTGAAGACCTTGGTGATTGGAGATGGGGAATACGTTTCTGATGAGAAGAAATGCTTGTCTGATGACGGGGAAGTGGATGAAGAGCTCAAAGTAGAAACTCCTCCTCCCCCAGGTAAACTCATCGGAGTAAACAGAAGAGCCCTCACCATTGAAACTCTTTCCAATTCTGAGCAGAGTGATAACTTGTTTCATTCCCGCTGCACTGTCAATGGTGAATTGCTTTCACTTGTCATCCAGTGAGGGAGTTGTACCAATGTTGTGAGCAATGAGGTGGTCAAGAAGCTATGTATGTGCACTAGCAAGCATCCATATCCCAATAACCTGCATTGGTTGAATGACTATTGTGCCATTAAGGTAAATAAGCAAGCTCGAATCAAGTTTTCAGTGGTCAAGTACAAAGATGAGCTTCAATTCAATGTGGAACCAATGCAAGCTGATCATTTATTGCTTGGAAGTCCTTGGTAGTTTGATCGTGGGGTTTGTCATTACGGAGGTACAAACTGCTACAAGTTTAAGCATCATGGTTAGAGTTTTCTACTTAAACCATTGTCGCCGGCCGAAGTTCAAGAGGATCAACAACAAATAGAGTCAAGTTGACAAAGAAAAAAGGGGGAATCTAGTGGGATACATGCGGAGGAACCCAAAGAATCTAGTTTTGTGGCTCGACGATTCATGCTAACTGGATACAAGAAACATAAGGTCCATCGTTGTCAACAGCTCTGTACCATCTCGCCGAAGTAGAGCAGGAGACAGAATGAATTGGGGGAACTCTAGAGCAAGAGTCGAACCAAAACAGCGACGCCAACACCTTCCAGAAGGCTCCAAGAATGTTTTCCTTGCTTAGATTGATCTGAATCCAGCTTAATTGATGGATCCAATTCGAGCAAAAACTCCTCTGAAATTGGCCTAGCACGGGGAAAAATAGAGTGAACTGGTTGGAGCAATCGGGGATGATTTGACCAAAGTGGCTCTTGCAGAATCATCAAGGGAAGTCCCAGGATGCTCTAGGATCAACCGAATTAACCCAGAGATACCTGAATAAAAAATGCCCAATTTCGGATTGGAATTTCTGGGTTCCGTAAATTTAAAGTTTCACAATGGCGGGAAAAGAAAGATGGACGATTCGACGCCATTGGTGATGATTCAAAGCATGAGACTGGTTGAGAATTACAATTCAAATCATGACGAATCTTATGGAATCCATGAATTGTACTGGGAATACTTCAATTCAAAAGCCTCGATTTCTTCCATGAGAACAAGTATGACCTAATTTTGCAGGACAAGCAATTTGTAAAGCCCAATTTTGATCTAATCTGGGATCAATTTTGTGCCAGGTTCAAGGAGAGGAAGGGCAAAGCTTTTTGAAGAGAAGGGTCGTTGATATTATCCTAATTGGTTCATTCTAAAAGTTTTTATTGCTTGGTCAAGAAGCAATCTCACCAACTAACAAGAACCCTCAAATTTGGTCAAGGGTTCTGTTTTAGGAAGCTATTTCGCACAATTGGCTTGATGGAAATTGGAGATTAAATGCTTGTTTTGAACTTAGAGTATCCCTCTACACAATGGACTACATGGGAGATCGAGGAGAGGCCAGGAAGTTCACTTCCCAAGCTCATCAAGATGCCTCCTCAATTTAGGGAAACCGCCAGGATTTGACTAAGTGTAAAACTGAGTTTATGAAGCCTACTTTGGAGCTAAATTCGAGAAGGAAGACTGCGAGTTGAGTCCAGAGGCTTATACCACATGAAAGTAGGTATAATCTACTACAAATACGTGGAGTTGGATGATTGATTTGATACCTCGAAGGATTCAAACGAAATCAAGGAAGATTGTCGAAAGTCTGCCTAACAGCCTTGCTTACCACGAAATCGGAATCCTCTGCGAATTAGGATTACTTGACCTTTTCTGTTTTGGCACTTTGATTCCGAGTTTTTTTGTGTTTAGAACTCTCGTATTAGTTTGTTTGCCTAGCCTAACTCCTTTTAAGTCTTTCAATTACATTGTAATAGTTAGATTATCGATTATTCAATACAAACGTGATTTTTGGTTCATTGAGCTTTTGCTTGGTGGATTCTAGGCGACTTGTGTGCTTGTATCGATCAATTAAACAATTTGATCGTGGTCAGCTTCTACCTATTCCTTTTGAGCCTTCTTCCTAGTGTAAGATTGCACAAAAAGTTCCATCGAAACCCCTTCTAATATGACCATGTTCTTGTTCGGGGTTCGAGATGATTTCAATTCAACTCGTGGCTGTGTAATTCTGATCGAAGAGACCCATCTAGGTCTCATCAAGAATCTCATGGTGCATACCTTGAATGTTCGGCCTAAGATAGTAAGTATGGTCCTCGCCCGAGAGATTGTGCTTGCACATTAAGATGATAGTAACATCATTCATCTCCGTCTACTCTTCTTTATGCAATGAAGAATTAGAGTGCATTCCCTTTGTCTATCATGTTGCATTAGGTTTGAGTAGGTTTGCTTGGACACAAGCAAATGTCTAAGTGTGGGAAAGTTTGATAACACCTAAATTGGTGCTATTTACCTTTCATATTAAGGTTTATTTCGTGCCAATTCATGGGCATAATTGTTTGAACATCGTCAATGGTATCCCTGTTTCGTTCCTATTTGAATTTGTTGTGGTTTTAGGGTGCTTTAGATGATACATGCAAATTAGGTACAAAATAAGGTCACAAGTGTAGCAAAGGGGGACAGAAGATTGAAGATCGTGGCCTATAAGCATGGTTCAGGAAATCGTACCGGACATCATACCGGATTTCTTTCTGGTAGGGTATTTTGTGGTACGACCGTGGTTCAATCGTTTCATACCGTTAAATACCGTTTTTGTAATAATAAAATAATTTTTTTGTCAAAATACCGTGCCGGCAAAATCAGAATACCGTTTCGGAATAATACCGGACTTTACCGGAAATACCGGAAAATAATTACTGAAAAATTATATAATAACAACCAAACTAGTTAAAAATAAGGCACATCAAACAAATAAACCCATTAACAAAGACAAGAATTGAGATTTATAAACACGATTACACTAGAGAAAGGTTCATTTACATGAATAATAATTTAGTTACGAAGTAAATTGCATCCCCACCCCAATGGATCCGTTAATTTTACACCATCTGGTTTTGCCGCCTCTAATCACAAAAATTAGCAAACTTTAATCCAAAATTTATTTTATTTTAAATAAATTTTAACTCTAGAGGGAACTAAATGACCATTGGGAATTGAGATCCAAGGACATAACCAAAAGTCCTTCCTTCTCCTTCCCAGCGTATATTATTAATAAGGCCCATGAACTTCATTAAAAAAAGAAAAATAAGGCCCATAGACATAAAGAAAAACCCTAGGCGCCCTCTCCATGTCACTCAGCCGTCTGCGTAACTCTCTTGTCTCTCCCCTCTCTCATTCTGGAAATGCAGCCTTATTTCATCTCTTTCTTTTTCCAAACAGCAGCTTCCTTCCTCTTCATTCTTCTTTCGCGCCCGATCAGCGACAGGATGGCATGGGAAGCGCGATGGCCAGACGCGGCGGATGTGGCCGGCGACGCAGGTCGGCGGTTGAGATGGAGCAGGGGCCGTGGTGTGGAGCCGGTGACAACTGACAAGGGCCAACTTGTCGGCGTCGTTTTGTTGCAAACATACTACCGCCGGTAGGTTCAACATCGGCCGATATTTCGCATCAGACCGGTTCGACCTAAAAAACCGGCCGATACGATATTTCTGCCACTAAACATCTATCGTTTCGTTTATGGTCCGGTTCCCGGTTGAACCGGACGGTACGATCCGGTTTCCTGTTCCATGCCTATAAGTGAAGATCACGATCGAGATAGTGGCCTGCGATCGCGGCCGCGAATTGGAGGGCTCAGAGCGCGAACTTCGTGAAAAAGGAGCCAAGGAGAAATAAAGCGTTTCCTTCGTTGGATCATGGTCATAGTGCAATTTGACCGCGAGGAAGATCGCGACTATGACTTGTGGATCACGACCGCGAAGTCAGCCTGCGATCTCCTTATCCCCGAAGGTGAAACGACAGCGTTGCTAGATTGCGGCCTGAACGCAGAAGATCCCACCCTCGATCTCTACCCTGCCTGGCCGCAAACTTCTCTGTCATCTGATGCCTATAAATAGAAGACCCCTTTCCCCATTTAAGAGAGATGATTTTGTAGACATAATTTCTAATTTTGGAGAGAGAGAAGAGAGAGAAGCTAAAGGAAGCAGAAAAAGGAGAAGGAGGTAGAAGAGAGGAGGCATATTACTCAACCTCAAGTCTTCTTCAACCTATTCTATGTATCTTCTTCCCTCCTTTATGGAGTAGTCCTTTAAGTTACTATGGTTTCTAAACCCCGAACCCTAGTTTTAGGGATTACAATGTACGTATGGATATTTTAGGGTTTTAATGAATGAATGTGTTTATCTAGTTGATTTTATTGCTATTCTAGCATTGATTGTGTTTGGGTAAGTTGCCCTAATCTTCTCTACTAGCCTACTTTATGCTTCTACGCTGGGTATCGAGTTTTAGGGTTAGACGGGTATGCGCCATCAAGAAAATTGAGGTTAGATGTATGAATAGGGATCTATGGAGGTCGAGGCGACCGAACCCCCGCCATTAGGTAGCCTTCCTAGATAGAACCCAAGATGAAATTTCAGTGTGGACGGTGGGTAGTACCCATTGATAGGAGCTACGAGCTTAATGCCCCATATAAGATAGCCTAGATCGAGATGAATTTATTTGGGTTTAGGGGATGCGTACTCGGAGGCGTGGGATAACCACGAAAGCCCATGGAAAAAGCTCACTCATCAGATTCGATAAACCCTAAGTATCTAGACATTACATAGTAGCCCTAGGCTAGGGTGAGGGATAGTTTCCCGAAGTACCTACTCTTATTTTTGTTCAATCTTACACAAGTTAATTCGCTCAAATCCTCGACACAAACCTTCAAACCGATCGACTTAATAACAACAAGGTGAGAAGTAGGCTAGGGAATCAGGAACCGAGTAGAATAGGACCTTGATTGCCACTATACGACAATGCCATCTTAGGTCAAACTTAGCCTAGGATGGGGTAGTTGTTGACACGTGCTAACCACTAACAATAATCTGCACGAATGAATGTGATCAGCTTCATAAGGTCATGTAGGGGACGCAAGATGGAGTTGGGGAAGTTGATGTGGAATTTTTTGATGAAAGCTATGTTCGGGTTCCTGAGTGCAATTGGAAGTATCGCAAATGTAAGCAACACCATCAAGCTCTTATTGTTGTCTATTGCAAATTGAGAGGAAGCTTCTTCATCTTTGATCTGGGTTGAGTGAAAAATTAATTAATCGCAGTTACTCGAACCTTGGGGACAAGGTTCTTTGAAGGGGAGAGAGTTGTTACGAGACAAGAATTTGAGCTAAACCTGATCAGCCCAAGCCCTCAAGTATATTGGCATGGTCATTATCATTATGGTTCCAATACATTAGATAGTAGTAATTTGGGCTTAATTATTAGTTTAATTACTATTGTCATTGTTTAGTTAGGAAGTGTTGTAGTCGTGGGTCATTGTTTGTCATGGTAGGATAAGGAGAAGTGTAGGGCATTGGCCAAATAAAGTGGCTGACTATCAGGTTTATGAGTCTATAAATACGTACTTTAGCATTAGTTCGTATTATCATTGATCAATGGAAAATAGTTTTATCATTGGGTATTAGTTATTCGTTTAGTAGTTCGTGGATAGGGGTAGCGGTAACGTAATTTGGGATTGTTCTCGCCATTAAGAAGAGCCTCTACTCGAGGGCATCGAGAAACATATCCAAATTTCTTGTGTGAGGGTTTATACCGATAAATTTTCATAACAATTGGTATGAGAGCCTGGTTGCTCAACGACGAGAATCTAGGAGAAAATGTCGAATCCATATCAGTTCTATCTGTAGCCGCATCCATACTACCATCCATCGTATTAATAATCATCGGCGTATCCGCCGCAGCCGTTAGGGCTGAAAATTTCCCTGTCCCGTCCCTGTCCCGTCCCTATCCCTGTCTGACCCGTCCCTGAAGGGTCAAGATGTATAACCGTCCCGTCCCGTCCCTGTCTCCTTCTTGACCCTGTCTGCTCCTCAAGGGTTGGGACGGGACGGGACGGGCTAGTGGATCGACCCTAATCAACACACTACTTTTTTACAAATTACGTTTTGGTACCCAAAATTATTTTTTCTTACAATTTAGTACCTAAATTTTATTTTTTTTACAAATAAGTCCATAAATTTTGATGGTAAAATTACGTTTTGGTACCCAATTTTTTTTATTTTTACAAATTAGTACCTAAACTTTTAAAACTTTACAAAAAGGTCCAATGAAGTATGAGATATTTTTTGTTGCTAAGGGTCACAGGGTCAAAACGTGACCCGTCCCTAAGTTGTCCCGACCCGTCCCGACCCTTACAGGGTCAACAAATGACCCGTCCCTAATCTGTCCCTGTAGAAAAACTGACATGTCCCGACTCTTAGGGACGGGACGGGTCGGGACGGGTCAGTGGGTCTTCCAGGACATAGGCAAGGAGCTACATTCTTCCTCAACAAGTGTTGGGTGACAATCCAGCACTGCTACGGCCACTATCGTCATCTCATTTGCCATCTTCACATCATCCTCCATGGTCGTATCATTATCGACACGAATGTCAAGACCTAGAGAGCTTAGTTGTCAGGGCTAGAACTGCAGAAGCTGCTTTGCCATACGCCACCGCAAATCAGTACCAATTTCAAGTTTCATATCCTCAACAAGATTTTGCGACATGGCTAGGTTATCCAAATTTATTTTGTTCAAAACCGACCTCCACCACCATCTCCACCATCGCCATACTTGTACGCTCAAAACCAGCAGCAACCGAGGTATCATTTGGAATGGGGACTACAAGAAGAGTATTATTACCTCTATTCGTCCACCATTGCCAATACGGAAGACCCCGCAACATCGCCAATGCATCCGCAAATCTAAGATCCAATAGAACATGCGCTGACATTGACCACTTTTTCCGCTCCAGTTCGCGCATGCCCCACCGTCCAAAATCCAAATCATGTCGTCTTTCATCTCCGAGATTAAAGTCACCGCTGCCCCGCCAAAGGAAAAAGAACGAGACAATATTGCCGAACTCGTGAAGGTCCAAAGCGTGCTCGACCAAGGCAGGGTTCAAAGCTGGCAAGTTGGAATTGAGAAGTTGAAGAGTGAACTCAATTCCCTCTTGGAAGCTTGTCGAGACAGGCCGAGGAGAGCTTCATCCAATCCACCAACAATCGTCGAAGCTTTATCATTATCACATGTAGCAACACTTGCCTCCCGACGTCGAACCGGATACAAAGGAGCTAATCCTAGCTCCAATACCATCGGCTACATCATCACTGGTTGCCACCAATCCAACCGCACCACCATCCGAGGAGCTGCTGTCGGAGATAGTTAACGAGGAGGTGTCGCTCCTCGTTCCCTCGTCCAATTTGGCCGACCTGGCTGCTGCGCCCCATAACCACGAATGGCCATTCTTGTCCAACGGTCGACCATCACCACTAGCGGTGGGCAATGGGCGGGTTATGTGGGTTTTGGTTTCAAATTGACCCACCCGCTTACTAGCGTGTTGGAATAATTTTGACCCGCAATCCACCCACATACTTCTGCGGATTAGGTTGCGTGGGTGGCAGATGGGTGCGGTCGGGTCGTGGGTCACCCCGCAAAAGCAATTCTCCAACTATCCATTAAGAAAGTTGGCTAACATTTATAATAAGGTCATAGCAAATTAGTAAGATTGTATCAATAATTTGTGATTTTGATACAATTAATAATTTATACTTTGCATCCCAATATATAATGGATATTAACAATAATTTGCATACCAATATCCAATATCTAATGGATATTGCACAACACAATAACCAATAATAGTAGCCAAAACTATTCTTTATTCTCCACCTTTTGAAGTATATGGTCAGACTGTGGTGCAGTTCGAAAATTGATGAATATTCGATACTATAAGACACAACATTATTCATGTACAAATCGGATGTGGATCATACGGGTGACCCGTGAGAGATTTATCAATCCGCAATAACCCACATCAATCACCCACTGCGTGCGGGTCAGATTATTTGCGGGTGGATCAATATCAATTCGGGGATTACCCTACCCACCCACCCACGTGCCCACCACTAATCACCACTACACGCCTAGTCGTCATCGCAGCTAAAGCCGAGAAGGCCATTACGATCGCATCTGCTACCACCAAGAGTTTGTATGTTGTTGTAGTTCACACCGCTGCCGCATCCGACTATCCAGTTAAAGGGTTTGATGAGTTTGACGTCAAAGCCCAAGCTTGTGAGGTAAATTCAATAAGTGGCAAAGTCTCAAAGCCTCTATGTAACTGGAAAACACGGAAGAGGAAATTTATCGGGAGTTGGAGTAGGGATAGCAAAGCATCGGATTGCATTGCTAAGGGTTCTCATGATCAACTCCTTTATGATGGTACAAGGTTGACGCTACAAACATGATGGATCAATGTTCGGAGTTGGATTTCAAAGGTAGTGGAGGGAAAGGTGCGTGGGGAGATAGGCGAGGAAGATGATAACTGGCTTAATAAGCTCATGCACGGGACGCAAGATAAACGTGGGGAAGTTTACGTGGAAAAATTTGATGAAATCTATGTTTAGGTTCATTGGAAGTATCGCAAACGTAAACAACACCATCAAGCACTTATTGTTGTTTACTGCAAATTGAGAGGAAGCTTCTTCAGCTTTGATCCGGGTTGAGTAAGAGATTGATTGCAATTACTCGAACCTTGGGGACAAGGCTCTTTGAAGGGGGGAGAGTTGTTACGGGACAAGAATTTGAGCTAAACCTAATTGACCCAAGTGTTTTTCAATTCATTCTTTTTAGTTATGTTTGATAGGTAAAAATCAATACTAATTAGAGTCTCCTAGAAATTCGCGGGTGTTGATTCTAGGACGAGGACTAGCCAGTAAATTGGGAACCTCGTTAAAAATCCTTTTGTGTTTATCTTCTCTACTGTTTTTCATTTTTGGTATTGCTCTCCCATCTTGTTTTCAAAAAGACAGAGTTCAAAGGAATTGATTCGTATGAGCTATAGATTTAAAGCCTGCTAGTGGTGTATTTATCTTTGTCATTATGTATTTCCACTTTTGCTGCATTTCTAGGTTCTTATTGCTGTGATTTCAAAAACAACTCTCCAAGCTTCCCAAACGAATCGTCTAAAGCCTAGGAATTACTTGCATAAAAGAGTTTCTGTTGTGGGCTCATTTTCATTCCTTCTTTTCAAAGCCTTTGGGCTTTGTCCCTTCTTGAGCCCATATGGAGAAAGTCTTTGAGTTCCGGAAATCAAAGTGAAGGAATTTTCTTCTCCACTGCATCTTCTTCCACTCACTTCTTCCGCTTCGTTGCTTTCTTTTCACAAAATCAGAAACTCTTAAAATTAAGCCATAAATCAGATTTCATACAGTCGTGATATTTTCTCGTGGTCGTGAACTCGAAATTCATGGTCTCCATCAAGCACCCGCGAGTCTAATTCTTAGAGCTTCTGCTTCTTCTATATCTCTTGTTATCAAGGTTCATGGTCTGACCATAAAAGACCCCAAATGTGAACTCTAGATTCTTGACCCGGACATAACGACCGTGAAATCTTGTTGGAGCCCATAAACTCTGAAAAAACTGCTACTCACATTTGTTGCCAAACCTTCTATCAAATTTCACTTAAACCCACATATCTTAAGCGGAAACTTGTTCATATTCCATACGAAACACTTCTAGACTAGCATGCAATTGCTTACGGATCAATTACTCAAAAGGCTGTGAAAGCACCTAGAAATGGAAGGCCGATAACACTTATTTTAGGTGTTATCGATCTTCATTCAAAAATTCATCATATGCATGCTTGTACCTAAAATTGACAAATACACTACCAAAGAGCATAAAAGTACAAAAACACACACAATTTCTATTAATTGCACATTAAACAATTTATAATCACTTCTATCATAAAACTTCTGGGATTGCATCAAATAGTAGGGGATGTTAACCTAAACTAGGAAGAAAACTATCGCTTTTCAAGTATCATCAATAGCGATGGAGCATTCAAGCTACATGCCTCAATATAAGAAAGTCATGCTCATATTATTGTAACTTTTGGAAATAATTACTTTCATGAAATTGAAGAAACAAAATATCGAATCATCATCATCGCCTGAATATTTGAATCATCATCATTGCCCAAATACATATAGAGACAAATTTTTATACGAGTAGTTTCTGAGGTAGGGGTGCCTCACGATCCAATAGTTCCATTATGCTCGATAAGTACATACAAATTGCATGTAATTAACCCGAGCTTTAATGAGCTCTATGAGGCACATCGAAATGTGTTTTTTTGTTATCGCGAAATATATACAATATGAAGTTAATAACTATGTCACATCACATGTGTAAAGTGAGCTTCAATTAATTAAGGAGCGTTTAATAGATACACAATATGATATTTGCTTGATAAGTTGAAAATAATTGATGTGTACTTTTGACTTTGGAACTTGAAGAATGACAAAAAGTAACAAAAATCATCTTCGCCATGTTTGTTTCTTATGGTTTGGTGTTGATGAGAAACATTGTGTCAATATTTTAAGAAATCATTCTAAATAAACATCGTAACAGCAAATAGCATCCCTTCATTTGTTGGATTGACTGATATGGCCTTAGTTGTAAAATTGTTATTAATTGCTATGTTTTGATTCGATTCAAATGTTGATTTGTGTATTCTCTCATCCAGGGCTGCAATGAATTTAATTATGTTCATCTCGAAAATCCTGTTTTACACATGAATCATACAACTAGGGGGCTAATTGCACCTAATACCATATAAGTATCGCTTTCGTTGCATAATAACCATGTAAGTTCTTTTAGTTGCAACTAAATCACACAAGTTGAGTTTCGGTTGCATCAATATATTTTCTGTTTATAAACTTAACGGCAGGTACCAAATTGCAATTCTTCATGCCACACAAGCACTCAAACTTAGCTAGGCTGGCGAGTTAGATGGGCCACTAGATCCACTTGGGCCACATGTAAAATTATTTATTTTGCGAACAAAGAAAGAAGGGATTTGCTTTCTTTATGAAAAGGGACGAGGAGTGGTAAATGCTTTCTTTCTCTCCCCACATCCCTTGCTGTCGCCGCCAATCGGCATAACTATCGCCGGCCGCCCACTGCGTTCTTCTCTCTCTACCAAATTTTAAACCTCTTAGTGAAAGGCTCTCACCCACGAACCTCACCATCTTTCCACCTCCAACAAATTCGTTCGCTGAAGAAAACAAGAACGCGGAAGAGTAAACAATCACACAACACACGAATTTACGTGGTATCCATGTTCGATGTGAACAGGACTAATCCACGGAGAGCTCAACCGAGCTCTCAACTGACGACGAAATATTTTTATCGACTTGCCGTCTTTCTAGCTTGCTGTTTACAACGACCACAACTAAGCTTTTATACCCGAACACTAGGCGGCCAACCCTAACACCACACGGCCAAAACGTCCTACACTAAGTGACGTGGACAACAACACAATTGGACAAGCTGCAAACCGACGACGTATAGTAAAATATTACACCTCTATACTCCCCCTCAAGCGAAGGCGTGAATATCAAGCATGCTGAGCTTGACAAGAAGTTCCTTAAAACGATCAGCACTCAAGCCTTTGGTAAAGAGATCTGTTGGCTGGTCCGTAGTCGCAATCTTAGAAGGAGTAATGTCACCACCAAGAACGCGCTCCCGAACAAAATATCAGTCCATTTCCACATGCTTAGTGCACTAGTGGAAGACATGATTAGCGGTAATGTGCAAGGCGGCCTGATTATCACAGTAGAGAGGAGCAGGTAGTGACATTAGTTGACTGAGTTCGGAAAGAAGCCACCGCAACCAAATGAGTTCACTAACTGTTAGAGCCATGGATCGGTATTCAGCTTCAGCAGAAGACTGAGCAACAACAGACCGTTTCTTGGTGCGCCAAGAGATGGGAGCACCACCCAGACGGATGAAATACCCAGTAGTAGAACGACGCGTGGTGGGACAACCGACCCAGTCCGCATCACAGTAAGCATCGAGGGTCATAGGAGCACCAGTCGGAAGAACAGTACTCGCCCATGGGACTATTTAAGATACCTGAGGACCTAAACAACTACATGTACATGAGCTTGTGTAGGAGCATGCACAGCTTGACTAAGTATGTTGACAGCATACTGGATATCTGGACGGGTGACGGTCAGGTAAAGAAGTCAACCCACAAGTCGACGTTAACTAGAAGGATTGGGCGCAGGATCAGAGGAGAGACGACCAAGCTGATGTCCTTGCTCGATGAGAGTAGCACACGACCGAGTAGCCTCCAAACCAAAGTCGGCTAAAATATCCAACACATACTTGCGTTGGTTAAGTACAATACCCTTCTGAAATCGAGCCACCTCAATGCCAATGAAATACTATAAGGATCCTAAATCCTTGATGGTGAACTGTGCATGCAGATAATCCTTGACATCTTGGATGAACTGCGCATCATTATAAGCAAGGATCACGTCATCAACGTAAATCAAAGTAACAAAAAAACTGGCGCCTTTGCGATGGATGAACAACGAGTGGTCCACGCGGCTTTGCTTGAACTGGAAATTAAGCAGGGCACTAGAAAACTTCTGGTACCAATTCCTTGAAGCTTGACGTAATCCATCAATTGACTTATGAAGTCGACAAACACGAGAATCTCCTGGTGCCGAAAAACCTTGCGAAAACTGCATATAGACTTCTTCATGTAGATCACCATGCATAAATGCATTATTGATGTCGGGCAGATGAAGAAACCATCCCTGACTAACTGCAAGAGCGATCAAACAACAAATGGTCACTAATTTAGCAACAGGGGTATATGTATCATGATAATATATGCCTTCAATTTGTGTGAAACCCTTGGCGACTAGGCGAGCCTTATACCGCTCAATCGTTCCATCAGGCTTGAACTTGACCTTGAAAACCCACTTTGACGCAACTATACGCTTGCCAGGGGGCGGCATAGCTAGTGACAGTATCATTTCCTTCGAGGGAAGCAATTTAAGCTTGCATGGACTCGGGCCAATGCTTGTACTTCATTGCCTCTCTGAATGACGTGGGCTCATAGGTGGCGAAGACGTTGGCCACATAAGCTTTGTGATCCGTGGAGAGACGATCATATGTGACATAATTGCTCATCGGGTACAAGACTGTGTTGGCAGTGGGGCGACAATCGGGAAGCTCTAATTCATAATCGGCGAGACGAAGTGGCCGATGAATTTGTCGACGTCGAGTGGGCTCCACCACACCTGCTGCTGGAGGTGAAGTGGGAGTACTATCACTCAAAGATTATGAGGTCGGATTAGACAAGTCAGAGGACAACGAATAAGTTTTGTCAAGACTAGATGAACCCGAAGACGTCGGCGATGTTTCTCCAGGCTCTGTTGATGGGGACGATGGACTCTGTGCTGGTTCATTGGGAACGTCCGAGTTATCAAGTGAGGCGGTGGCTGCTTGAACCATGTCGAAGAGGTCAGTGTCATATGCTTGCTCATCATCATCATCATGATGGAGCCACGACGAGGAGCTCTGCAGCGGCTGAGAGTTGGAGACGGGCGTGATGTTGCGGAAGGGAAACACTTTCTCTAGGAAGAAAACATCACGGGATGTATAGATCATTCGACTGTCAATGTCGAAAACTCGATATCCACGTTGTTGTGCAGGGTAACTGACAAAGATACCCGGTTTCCCTCGAGCTGCAAACTTGGAGAGATGAGAGCGAGTATCCTTCGGATAGACCAAACAACCGAAGGTGCGAAGATAGTCGTATTTAGGAGTTCTACTGAGAAGGACCTCGAATGGGGTTTGGTTCTTGATGGATGTGAGAGGCATTCTGTTGATGAGATAGGAACAGCAGTGGTGATGCATTCTCCCCATAATTGAAGTGGAAATCCTGCCTGAAACGCCCTCGCAGTATCCAATAAGTGCTGATGTTTACGCTCTACAACGCCATTCTGTTGAGGCATATCTATGCATGATGTCTGCAAAAAAATATTTTCCTTCTCATCGTAATTGTGCAATTCTTGGATATTGAACTCACGGCCATTGTCACTTTGAATCCGCTTGACCTGACCCCCATACTGCGTCCGAGCTTGATTGCAAAAGAGTAACAAATAACGAGCTACCTCGGACTTCTGTTTTAACAAATATACCCATACAGTACAACTGAAATCATCCACAATAGTGAGAAAATAATGTGCTCCTGAAAATGAAGTCTGATCATAACCTCCCCAAATATCCACGTGAATAAGCTCAAAACAAGTTGTCGTCTTAATCGAACTGGGAACAAAAGGCAGGCTAGTCTGTTTAGCTCGTAAACAAGACAAACATGGTTCTTTAATAACGACAAAAGTACTAGAAATATGAGGTTGTAATGCCATGAGCTCTGCTAGTGACGGATGACCGAGTCTCGTGTGCCATAATGTGGACTCCTTAACTGCCTGCTTCGCCGAGAAAGCCACTGGGTGTCCCTCCTTGAAAATTCGCAGATATCAGAGCCCATCAACATGCTTACCCATCCCAATCATCTCTCTGGAGTTTAAGTCTTGTATCACACAGAAGTTACTGAGAAACATTACAGCGACAAGATGGTCTACCGTAAGACGACTGATGGACAAGAGATTGCACTGGTATTCAGGAGCATGTAAGACATGACGAAGGGTTAATCCATTCATTAGTTTGAAAACCCCTATTCCTATAACGGTATTCCTTTGCCATTTAGAATTCGAACCTGTAAGACCGAGTTGGTATCCAACTCGCCATCAAACAACACATAATCCTTTGCAATGTGTTCATTACATCTAGAATCTATAACCCATGTAGAGGATAAATCGAACGGAAGCATACCTGACATGTTTGTTTTAGGCTGTTAAGACATAGAAGTCATCGCTGCTCTTGGTTCTGAATTGAGAAAGCCTTCAACTAAGCCACTTGCTCCAAAGTTAGCTCGGGTATGGAGAGCTCTGACGTCTCAACGGCCGCTTCTTGCTGTTCACTTCACGACTGGCGTCCCTGAGGTTGATGACGTGGCCGCTCTTCTTTCTCACCTGACCGTGGCGGCCAACCAATGATGTCAAAACAATTTGCCTTGAGGTGACCTAGTTTGCCGCAGTGAGAGCACTTTGGGCGCCCATCCACGCTCATCGAGGGAAAGATGCTCCCCCTATCCTTGGAACGTTGCAACTTCAACCTTGGGACGCTGATCATGGGTGATTGTGCGATGTTACTGGTCATTGGCCACGACATGATAGGCCTCCCCAAGACTCGGAGTAGGCTTCATGGACAACAGATGAGTATGTATGGTGGCAAAATTATCATCGAGCCCAACGAGGAAGTCTAGCAACTTCATGGACTCATTCGACTCCCGTGTTCGTTGCTCGACGTTGCTATAGCAATTTCCACAAGTACACTTGGCCGGAGGATCAAGCATCAACCAGTCATCCCATAGTCTTTTGAGCTTCGCATAAAAGTTTGACACGCTCAATCGATCTTGACGTAACGCTACCAGTTGGTGTCCGATTTTGTATCGGCGCGACATATTTCCTGTGCTAAAGCACTCTAGCAACTCTTCCCAGATCTGCTTTGCCATGAAGCTAGTGCTAAGATTTCTTCGGACTTCTTTGGACATGGCTTGACGCAGCCATCCAACAACCATCACATTGCAGCGAACCCATAATTCAAGACAATCACCACTCGACGTTATCAAGGACAGAACCCAGCTTGTTCTTCGCAATTAGGGCATTGGACATCTCGGCGGACCATTCGTCATAGTTCAAGTTCGTGAGTAGCTCCCCAACAAACACCTGACTCGCTGCATCAGACGGGTGTAGGGAGAGGGGTGACATCGGGAAGATTTCTTCTGGTGAAACAATCAACTTCTTCCCTTCTTCCTTCGTACCAGAATCCTCACCCGCCATGATCTCCTCGTGGAGCAAAGATTAAAACGAGAGCTAACAGGTGCGCGGATCAGAACACTGGCTCTGATACCATGAAGAAAACAAAAACGCGGAAGAGTAAACAATCACACAACGCACTAATATACGTGGTATCCCTGTTCGATGTGAACATGACTAATCCATGGAGAGCCAACCGAGCTCTCGACTGACGACGATTTATTATTATCGACTTGACGGCTTTCTAGCTTGCTGTTTACAACGACCACAACTAAGCTTTTATACCAAAACACTAGGCGGCCAATCCTAACACCACACAACCAAAACGTCCTTGCACAATAAGGACACTAAGTGACGGGGACAACAAGACAGCTGGACAAGCTGCAAACCGATGACGTGTAGTAAAATACTACACCTCTACATTTGCCCTTGACGGATTATTCATTTTCATCAATTTCATTTCCTATTTATTCCCTCAACCTCTGGTTCATGCTAACTCTCCTTATTATGCAATCCTGTGATGATGTTGTAGTCTTTGCTTATATTAAAACAATTGGAGAGTAATTAGTATTTCTAATACAAAACTAGCAGCTCGTTGCTTAAAAGAGAAAAGAAACCAGCAACAAAATTTATATTTTCCATCCGAGTAACAACAAAATGGAGAAAGCATTGCCACAAAGTAAACAAAAACTCCAGATCTTCTAGTAATTCAATCGACCATGTATCTGCAATTTTTTCAGCATTTCATTATCTTCTCCCGCCGATTCTCGATCCGGTAAGTTACTTTTTTTCATCTTGTCGTGTCTTTAGATAAACCAAGGGATGCTCTGTTTTTACTTCAATACTCGTGTGTGTTTTTTGTTCGATTCACGCACATGCATTAACAATTGAAATATGCAGTTTTGGAGCATCAGTTAGTTGTAGGTTATTAGAATCAACTATGGAGTTGGGTCGAAGTTTGCTTTAATATATACTTTGATGAATCATGGAACCACCTTTCAGCTCTCCTAAACCAAACTTTCTGCAGGGTATTGAATGAACATAACTAATAAGTTAGCAGTAAATGCTTTCAAAGCCTCGTTCTCCTTAGCTTTTACCTTTAGCTGGGTAATTTTTCATCACTGGACACAGTTCCTCTATTTTGTTGTGCCTCGGGTGGAAAATATAAATCCTTTCTGCTGGTTTCTTCATTTTTTTCTCCTTTTAAGCAAGGAGTTGCTGGTTTTGTTTACAAAAATCAATTACTGACTTACTGTCCAATTGTTTAAATAAGCAAAGCCACTCTTTCGTTGCTCGATAAAGAAATAATTCAACATGTGGGCCCATACGGATTTAGCGTACCATCTGACTCAACAATTTGGTTGAGGTGGAGTGCTTGCAAGTCATGAAGAATTGCAATTTGATACATACCGTTAGGTTTATAAACAGAAAACATAAAGATGCAACCGAAACTCATAGTTGCAACTAAAAGAACTTATATGATTAATATGCAACGAAACAATACTTATATGGTATTAGGTGCAATTAACCCTACAACTAGGGTATAGTTCAATTTGGCTATGGTGCTCACAACAATTTGGCTATTTGTGCCAGCACTAATTCACAGTAACTTCTCACAGCCTAACGATGTGTGTCACTGTGTGCTTCTTTACGTGAGAATAGAAGCAAGAACAAATAACAAGCGCATCGACGAAAAAAATTAGGAAAGGAAGATAGGCAAGAGGGGGAAAGGAAAGGAAATGAGAGGACAGGTGGGAGGTGTTGTCGTTTTGCTAAAATCTAAAGACCTTTTCCAAGATATGGTGCTAATTTTGAGGGTGGGGAAAGTGGGACTACCTCCCTCACAAGCAAAAACAAAATTCAATAATTGCCACCACCCCCACCACTTCAAACAACTACACCAACGAAACACACAATATCATGGCAAGGAAAATAGTTTCCTTTTCTCCCCCTTTCGCCATACCCTCTTCCTATTCTTCTTGTTATACCCTACTTGTATTATGTTTAATGCATGAAATACGAATGATGATCCATCCCATCTTAGAACAGCAGCCAGCCAGCCAGCCAGGGTGGTGGCCTGGTGGGTGACGATGGATTCATCATGCAATCATGGCTGGAAGCTCTCTTGATCAGCCTTTGGCCTCTTTTATCTCGCGAGGCTCTAGAATCCAAAGCATCCTCTTGGTGAGCTTACTATTGTCAAAGGGTAAAAGATGTGGACATGATGATGATGTTACATTCTGAAAAAATTCAGTAACTGCCATTCTGGGCAGTTTAATTTTGAAGTGGGTAAAGCACAAGGATTGGAGAAATCGTACCCTACACTCCGGGCTGATAAGGAATATCGGACATTGACTTCTAAATCGGTAGCCGGTTTTAGTACTGGTATGAAACTATTGAACCATGGTATTAGTACAAATACTCTACAACTGACTTTTCCAGTATAACCTCTGGTAGACTGGTACAGTTCCACAATTCTTGACGAAAATTTCATTGGCCGGCCACTTGTAAGATTCTATGGCCAAATTGACTAACTCTCTTCGATTAAGTATTCATGAGAGTCTGGATAGTTACGTTTGTCGAGACCGCACGTCATAAGAAAAAAATTCAAAATAATTACTCTATTTTTCTTGATTAAGGAAGTTGTCGCGCAAGAACAGCTCGGCCCAAATCATTTTGCAAATGAATAAAACACACATTGACGATTGTATACCATGCCCTTCGAGCTTCCCTCGAATTAAAGAAAAAAAGCGCACACACATCAACCATCTTTAGAGGGAGTTTGATGGTGGAATAACAGATTTGCCAAAGTCACCTACCCAGGGTAGTTTAGAGGGGGGCTAGGCTGGCAAATGCAGAAGGTGGGTCAGGTAATAAGGTGTGCATGGTCAGCTATTTGGTCCTTTTCTCATGAGGATTGGAATTAGGCCTAGAGAGTGATCGTCCTTTTTTTCCCCCTCTTCCTTTTCTCCATCTCTCCTTTGGCGCTTCTTATTTGTGTGCATGTGTGTGCGCGGTTGTGTGGGGTTGGAACTAATATCGAAATGCATATGCATGCCCCGCGCCATTCAATGGCGCCATTTCCCTTCCTAATTACACTCTGTTCTTCACTGGACCACATTCCAGTTTCCTGTTTCCATATCCTTCTTCTTCTTCTTCTTCTTTGCTAACTTACGAAATAATCATTTTCCGTTTGTTATAATCAATTATATTACGTAAAATGCGATATTCGTCACGCAACGTTTACGTGGGTATCAAAGTAAAAAAAAAATACCTAGGGACAATTTTTTTCTCTTCTTAAATGGAACTTTGATTTGTTCAGGTTGTTCCCAACTACATTGACAGAATAGATACAGAAACAAGAAGGTAAAGAAAAATAAATTAATGGAATGGAATGGAATAAAAGATAGATAAATGGACAAGTAGAGAAGAAAAAGGTACACTTCTCTATCTCTTTGACATCGATATGTTTTTTTCTTTCTTTTTTACTTTTTCCTTTCAGTTCTTCCCAAAATATTTTTTTTTTATTTCTGAATTTTGTTTTCTTGATGGTTTGGGCTCCCCTGCCTCATTTCCATCACTTGTCATTTCCACTTCCTCCCCGGAAAACCACCTGAAAAGATAGAAAGAAAAGCGATGAACAAAACTTTTCATCAACTGCCAGCCCAATCATCACAAAAAAACGGTGAAATGATAGGGCAAGGTTTTGAGCTTCCAATTCCCAACCTGCTTCCTTTGAAACCGACTGAGAAGAATGGAAGAACCCAAAGTGCTTCTTCAGTAGAGACTTCCCCTGAAAAAAAAAAAAAAGTTCAGAGCCAAAATTAGGTTAACACATAATGTAATCATTGCCCAGAAGCTCCGTAGAGAAATTCAACAAAACCACAACCCAAAACTCGAGTTCGTACATGCTCATGCATCGTACCTTAAAATGTGTAGCTGAAAACCCTTGTGAAAGTTCCTCCGCTGAAGCATCGCTCTTGTTCAATTGCTTCTGAAAAAAAAAAAAAAAATTCGGAGAAACTCGGTGTCAAGGACAAATTAAGCGGAAAAAATTGGTTCACCTGGTGAGAATTTAAGGACCAACGCACGGAAGAAGAAAAATGGGTTTTGCGGCAGAAACAGGGGCTGTTGTTACCTTGGTCTTTAACGCAGGGGAGCTAGCAGTGTCATCGAGATACTGATGATGAAACTGTTTCTGCTGCAATGACTGGCAGCTTCTACTGCTGTTCTTTTTCTTGCTGCCAGTGCTCCTGTTATTACAGCAATCCTCATCTTCTCCTTCATCATAGTAACCTGTGGGAGGCCCAGAAGAGGCATCCGAAACCATGGACAAATCTTCTTCTTCTTCTTCCTCCTCGTACTGCAGCTTCGCGCGGCTACCGTAATTACCTCTACCGGAATCATTATTCACCGTGTATCCGCCAGCATAGCTCTGGTACGGATTTCCATCGTTGTAATTGGAGAAGGAGGATTGGTCCAAGTACAATGTCCACCCTGACTCGCAACCGCTGCTGCTGCATTGAGAAGCTGATGGCACATCCATCTTTTCTTATTCTGTTTCTTTCCCAATTTTTGCAAGTTTGGAAGCAAAGAAAGAGAAGGGGAGGAGGGGAATTGAATGGAAAGAATGGAATATGGAAGTGAGGTGGTGAAGGGTTTTTTGATGATGGAGCTGTGACTTGCTCTGGGTTAGCTCTGTTTATAAGAGAAGAAACAGGGGAAGCAAATTGAGAGAGAGAGGGAGGGAGGGAGAGAGAGGGTAAATGGGTAATGGGGAAAAGGGAAAATCCAAACGAATCAAAATGAAAATCCTAGACTAGTTTTGTCCTTAGCTCTATCTTTTCGACCCTCCCTTTGGCTTTATTTTTATCAGCTTGTGAAATCAATCAAGCTTGCCAGTTGGCTGTGGGTTAGAGAGAGAGAGTGTGTGTGTTGAGAGAAGAAGTAGCCATAGGAGAAAAACCCAAAGAGAAACCAGATGGATGGCCTAGCAAGCAGCAAGCAAATATGGTGACCATATGTGGTAATAACTGAATTACCATTACCAGGTCGCTTTATAGTTACTTCCATTTTACAGGATCAACTTTCTTGGCAGCAACCCCCCTCCTTTCGCTTTTAATTGATTGACTGATCTACATCTACTTATAATCCAATTATCAATTTTTCCTTTGGATAGAAAATCCACTAGGGACCAGAACTTATCTATTCGTTTCTTACACCAACTTATCTAATTGATTATTACATCCTATGCATTTTGAATTTGATATTTTAAATATTAATTTTTTTAATGGTTAATCAAAAATTGTATTAAAACTCGGGGAGTTGCGACTCGCAAAACCTCCCTCTCAAGGTATACAACTGTGCTTATACACTCAGTATACTAATAACTATCAACGATGTAAACCAATAAACCATTAAACGCTATGACCTAAAACTTTCAAGACACTCAGGTGGAAGGCTATGTTGCTACTGATAAATAAACCAAACTCAGTCAGCACCAATCGCGATAGTTGAGCAGGAGAAGCAACTCGAGAACTGCCATATAATCGTGAGTTCCTTTCCCTCCATATGTGACTAATGCCCATTATCCAAAGCACTCGACCAACTGCACCCCTATCAGACTTCATCCCCCATTGCCATTCTGCCCATTGCAGATGAGTACACCAATCAGAGAACCCAGGGAAAACACAGACTTTCTACAATAGGTGTCTAAGCACTGCCTGGCGAAATGAACACGTCCCAAACAAGTGATCTCGACTTTCATCACCACCTAGACATAAAACACAGCAGAGGTTACAAGTTATACCCCAGCCAGCAGCTGGTCTTTAGTCCGCAGACGCCCAAGCGCAACCAACCAAAGGAGAACACTATGTTTAGGATAGATTGGCCTCTCCCACACAACGCTGCTCCATGTAACAGTTGGAGAGGGCTCCCTTATAGCAGCCCAAACAAGCTTAACAGAGTATTTAGGGATCCTCTATCCATCCCATGCCAAAGTATCCCCTGAACTAGTAATATGTGATTGAGCATGATGTCTGCACTTCAATATCTTCTTCCAAACCCATGTACTCACTGAGTTAGCTGAAAGGATCCACAAACTCCGACCTTTAATCCTATACCTGTTCATCCATGCTACCCACAATGATCCTGCCTCTGCTAGTAAATTCCACAAATGACAAATAACACAAGCCTTGTTCCAATTTTTAAAGTCCCTAATGCCCAGACCTCCTTCCTTACGTGGGAGAGCTAACTGGGACCATGCTACTAAAGCTTTCTTCCTCCCGACTCCATCCACACTCCACGAAAATTTATTGCACGCATCCTCAATCATTTTAAGCACCTTCATTGGGAGCAAAAACACAGACATCCAATACCGACAAACACTACTAATAACAGAATCAATCAACTGAAACTTCCCTGCATAGCTCAAGGTCCTAACTTCTACAAAAGGTTGTTGTCTACCTCTAACCCACTCCAATCTTTGCAGCTCTCATATCATCTCTCAAACTTGCATTGTTGCTACTCAAGTTTATCAAATCAATAGAAAGATGCTTTGCAATTTCTTCAATAGACTTAGGTGTCTCTCCATGCAATCGTCGACAACGTTCCTTCCATAATACGGCACTACTCGAACACCATACCAGATTTGTTAACCTCCATGCTATTGTCTTCCTCCTACACATATCATAGCCAAAAAAGGGAGGAGCATTTGAAGAAGATATGCTTCCTAGTCTCTAACTGATTTTGACACAACAAGAACAAGCCATCCACATTCTTTCACCATTTTATCAACATTGCTTTTGTGACTATACCATCCATAATAATCAACAGGCTCGAAAACTATAACGTGGTATAAACCATTGTTCCAGCCTTATCCTACCCAGCCTACCATATTATGCTTAACCCACAGAGCTTTCCACACTAATAATCTTTCAATCTAGGCATTGGCTTGCCATTCTTGTAAAGCACAGGACCTTGTACCTTGAAATGAGACTGAAGCACCGACCTTGTTTTTAGAACATGTCGTCAGGCCTAGGAACTCCTTGAACTCACATTCATAGTCCAAATGCTACCCATTTTGCCTTGTACTTCTAATCCATGTGTCCCATATATCTCAATTCGATACTAATAATAGCCAGACCATGCGAGCTGAACATGCCATATTTCATGCTGATAAGTGATATGCCTCTTAGCCCCGATCTCCCTTCCTTTCTTGGTCGTGCTATATGATCCCAGCACACTTTAGTTTTGCCCTCATGATCACATCCATGCCATAAGAATTGTGAACAGACATCTTGAATCAACTTCAACACTTTCTTTGTTATAAGAAATGTTGCATCCAGCATTGGAGCAATCCCATCAAAATCGAGGATATAAGTTGCAATCTGATACTTTGAGCTATCTTACAAGCTCGTTAGTTCAACCGAGGATAGCTTACCTGATAGTAGAGGTAGTTTAAGATATCAAAATGGCAAACTATCTAACTGAAACCTTGGAACTCTCAAAGCATTCTTCTAATACATTATTGAATCCCACCTAAATTAGGGGTGGGCAAGGGGAAACGGGTATGTGGGTATACCAGTATCCATCCCATTTTTTTAGAGTTACGGGTAACAAAATACCAGCAATTTTTTTATGGGATGGGACTTGGGATCAAGAATCATCACTTTGGGCACCCATGGGTTACCCGTTAATAGCCGTTTGGGTATTACTTGTACCCGTTATACATTAGTCGAATGGATTTGGTAGCTTACTTATAGAGTTTGGTAGAGAGTATATATATAAGATTAACAATTTAATGAATAAGCCACTCCTAGTATACTAGGAACTAGGAAGTGCCGCCACTGTGTTGGTTCATGATGATGAGGTTTGTGATTGTGGAGCAAAGGTCGTTGTATATAAGCATCAGTTGACATTGGGGATTTATAGCAAGGTTGTTGTATTTGTATAAGCAACAGTTGACATGTAAGCCTAATTAACCAGAACCTTTCACCTCTCCATTGATACCCTCTCCTTTTTTACACACTAATTATATTTTCACTCCCCTAAACAACTACCCAAAAACATATAAAAGCAAGCAACAATGATGAGCCAAGTACTGCTGCTGCTTGCTGACGTGGTGGAGCTCATAGGTGGAAGCGCTTCATCAACTGCTTCTACTCTTGTTCATCACCAATATTAGTACGAATGACAGAGCAGACAACAAAAATCCAAAGTGAAAGAGCAAGTCTAAGCAACAAAAGATGTATCTATTGACGGGTATTTACGGGTAGTATGGGTACCCGCTATTCGTCCTGTACGGGTAATGAGTACCGTTAACCCGTACGGGTTTGAGACATGGGATGGAGATTGCTAATTAAATGGGATTGGGTACTCATTTCAAACGGGACGGGCATCCCATCCGGTCCCGTTGCCCACCCTGACCAAAATACACTTCACATTTTCTCTAATTGTACATGAGCCCAGAAAACTTTCAGAAAACACTAAAAACTAATTGAACCCTATTAACAACTTGAATAGACCCCTCAATGAATATGAGTAGACCATACGCAAAGCTTACATGATTCGAGCCTACTCTCTTGCATTGAGGGTGGAAATCCAATTGCCCCTTATCTGCAACATCATTCAGTAATAAAGACAACCCCTCCATGGCAATTGTGAAGAGGTATGGTAAGAGGGGATCACCGGCCTCACTCCCACTTGTGCCCCCAAAGAAATCACATAGACAACTATTTATGTTATTATGTCTTTACACACAATTTCATCCAATAAAGGAATCTATTAGGAAATCCCATTACTTCCATAATAAAAAACAGGTACTCCAAACTTACCTAATCAAAAGCTTTCCTAAAATATACTTTAATAGCACAAATAGAAGAAATGTGTTTTCTGAGGTAACCATTAACTAATTCCATAGCCATGCGAATATCATCCACAATTATCCTCCCCTCTATGAAGGCAGATTGGTTTCCACTAATAACATTAGGCAAAACTTTTTTCACCTTAACAACTATAACTTTGGATATGATCTTGTATAGTATATTAACACAAGAGATAGGTCTATACTTGCAAGCATATGGTATTTTAGGAACCAAATTGATAGCAGTGGAATTCACTCTACCTGGCAGTCGACTTGATTTGAATTGTCTAGAACACCTGTTGTGACATCCTCACAAATATCCCTGATTTCAGCAGAAGTTACAGGTTGGCATAACATGTCTTTCTCTTCACTATTTAATAGACATTAGTGTTTGACGACAACGATGAACTTTCGGATCAATCGAACCATACAAGCCTTTGTAAAACAAAACAACTTCTGTTGCAATGTGCACAATCTCTGTAAGTTCGTTCCAACTATTAGTTATAAGCTTCCTTATTGTCTTCCTTAGAAATCCTTTGCTTAGAAGTCAAAGGTGCATTCATTTTTGTTCAACTCAAATTTTCTCGCCGGAAAAGATCACTGCCCGGGAACACATTGATTTTTCATTTTTTTATACATTTTCCTTGGATCGTCCTTAATATCGTGTTCCAAGAAATAAAAGAAAATTTCTCACCTCCAACATAGACCAAGTACCATGGCTCAACAACCCTCCGGCTTTATCCATCACCTCTTGGGACGATTTACTCAAAAAGTTCATGACCCGATATTATCCTCCTTCCAAGACGACCGAGTAGAGAAAGAAGATCACTCACTTTGAGCAAGAAGAGGATGGAACATTGAGGGATGCATGGGAAAGATTCCCCGACTACTTCCTCCACTGCCCTCACCATGGATTCGAGGAGCAATTTTGGATATTCTATGGAGGACTCATTTAAGATGACAAGATTTTCATCTACTCTCTTTGCCAAGGGAAGTTGATGAACATGACCCCTTCTTAAGTCAATGAATTGCTTGAAGATATGGCTCTTAAAGGATATGATTGGGGCTTAACAAGGAGTGGTAAGAGAACCACCGAGAGAGGAGTAAGAAGTGTGTGAGCAAGTGCTCCACATGAAGTGAAGCTTGACAAGTTGATCGAGGTGATCCTTGAGGACAAGAAGCAAGGGAAGAGAGCAGTGATGTCTTGTGATTGGTGTTCAAGCACTAATCATGAAATTGTGGATTGCCAAGCGATGAAGGAGACAAGTAGCCCTCGAGGAGCAAGTGAGTTTCATGGCCAATGCTAGAGGGAACAACCCTTATAATAACACCTACAACCCTGGGTGGCGCAATCATCCAAACTTTGCTTGGTCTTCCCCTACCAATCCAAGACCTCCCATTTTCCAAGGTTCAACAGTCAACAATCAACCTCGGCCAACTTTCATCCAACAAATACCTCAATTCCAAAACTCGAACTTCCAACAACCATACCAAGCACAAGGTGGTCAAGGGTTTCAACAACAAGTCGACAAGTTCACTAAACTTGAAGACCTTGTGACCTCCTTTGTGAGTACAAGTACTCAGAAGTTCGAGAAGATTGAGAAATTCATGGATATGGCAACCTCTAAGTTTACCTCATTTGAGGCGGGACTCCGAAGCCATCAAACAAGTCTCCAAAGCTTGGAAGTACAAATTAGCAATCTTGCCGGGATCCTCACCAAGAGACAAAAGGGAGCCCTACATTCTCAAACCATTACCAACCCTAAGGATCAAGCCGGGTGCAATGCAATTTTATTAAGTAGTGGGAAGGTGACTCCGGAGGTCGTTGCCAAAGAAGTGAATGATAAGGAAGGCATCGCCGACGCCACCACCTATGGCTGAGTACATGCCACCCCTACCTTTTTTCCACAAGGGTGCACAGGGAAAGATTGGAAGCGGAATGTGGAGGTTTCATGTAGATGCTCCTAAAGCTCCACCTCAACATTCCCTTCCTTGAAGCAATGGCACACATGCCAATGTATTCAAAGTATCTGAAGAGGTCTCTCTCCAAGAAGCTGAAATTCGAAAACCTCCCCAATGTCACCCTAGGCAAGGACTGATCAGCCTTCATCCTCAACAGGTTGTCCAAGAAGCAACTCGATCCAGGTAGTTTCACTATACCTCTTTGCATCGGTTCTCATCACATAGAAAACTTCTTGGTAGACTAAGGGGCGAGCATAAATGTGATGCCATTTAAGCTTTTTAAGAGGCTAGACATAGGTGAACTAAAGACCATGAGGCTTAGTGTCACATTGGCCGTTCGCTATGTCATTAGTCCTAGGGGCATAGTGGAGGATGTGCTAGTACAAGTGGGAAAATTTTTTTATCCGACGGATTTTGTGATCATGGATATAAGTGAGGATTCCAAGATGCCACTCATACTAGGACGCCCTTTCCTTGCCACTGCCAAGACATTAATTGATGTAAATGGGGGAACTTTGATTCTGAGGGATGGCGAGGAGAGAATTACTCTTGGAATTGATCCTAAGCCTATGAGTGAGGAAGTGGAATCGGGTATTATGAATGCAAGTGGAGGAGAGCCTTGCAAGGGGAACCCCACTATTACTGTTGGTTCTTGTGATGATGTGAAACAGGAAAGAAAAGAGGGCATCTCGCCCAAAGAAGGAAGGAAAAGAGCTTGGAGGGAAAGGACAAGTCATGCTAATGCTTAGTGGAAGGAAAAGGGAAAAGAAAAAGTCAGCGGCCAAGAAGGCCACCCCATGGTGAGTAAGGTGGGAGGCGACATGCTTCGACCCGAGATCGTGGCGGATCCACTCTCGGCAGCATCATGTTCAAAGGCGTGATAGATCCACAACGTCAAGCTAATGGCGTTAACTTAGCGCTTATTGGGAGGCAACCTAACGTAGGTTTGTTTACTTTTCCTTGTTTTTGTTTTTGTGTCGAGTGAAGAGTTCAAGTGGTCGAGTGGTATTTCCGTGCCAGGTTTTTGTGATTGTGTGTTTTGAGTTATGTCGTGATTGATAGTAGGCACGTTGGAATAGGTCGAGTAAATTTTTTAAGAAGTACGTTATTTTCACTGTTGTTCATGGACGGATTGCTCTGGTCACGGTCTTACAAGACCGTGAACAGGCAAACGCGTCCGTGAACCAGGGTGCTTCCACTTGTGTCAAATCCATCAGATTGCCTCACTTCACGGACGGATTGCAGTGTTCACGATCCTAACGACCGTGAACTGGAAAAACGCCTCCGTAAACCTCAGGGTCTGCCTATAAAAGGGTCGTTAACGGTTTTCCTTCACTTCACAACCCAAAACTTGCTGGAATCTTTCAAATCTCGACGGAAAACCGTGAAACACCGATGGGTTTTGTCCATTTCACCCACTTTCGGCGAGCCAAACCAAAAACCAAGCAGAGACCCTGTCTCCCCTCATCAAAAGCGGCATTCGCTATGATTTTGGGGAGATTTGGAGCATTTTTCTTCTGGCGAGACTCTGATGAGCTTCTGCAAATCTCCGACGACCTCCTCCGGTCTGTTTTTGGCCCATTTTTTGCGTACCTCGCCCTCTTCTCACTTCCCTACCCTTCCTACTTGAGTCTCCAGGTTTGTTTTCAGCTCTACCTTAATTATTTTGGGAGAATCGGATTAGGTAGTGAGTGAGGAGAATTTTATTGAATTGAATGTTGAACTTAGCTTTAGAGCGAGGAATTAGGTGAATTAGGGTGATTGAATGGTTGAATGATGTTGCTTCAGCTGAGTCTAGGTGGGCATGTTTTGATTCGAATTGCTTTAATTTGTGAAATTTGTCCACCAAGTGCTAATTTATGAATGAATGTGAAATGTTTATGCTTGAGTGGTGGTTGGTAGCCACCGTGGCATGGTTCGGGTTTAATTTTTGTTTGGATACTCCATGAAACACCTAAACCATGCCTCGGTGTGCTTGTGCTTAATTGTTTTGATTAGCAGAGGCACGTGGTGGAAATATAAGTGTGTGTGTGTGGGGGGGGGGGGGATTCCTTTTTCCTCCCAATGAGTTGAGATTGATAATTATTTCCACGTATGGTGCATGTTTGTCGATTTTGCAGGATGCTTAACGTGGAGCATGAGTACGTCAGCTACTTGGTGAACCATGCACGGTTCGGGACCAAGTTTGCATACCAGCGGGACAGCCCGATTGGGCCACATTGGCGGCTGGACCTAGACATGTTTAACCTCTTCAAGTGCCAAGCCGCAATGTCAGGAGGCGCGTGTCACCCCAGTGGCGCCAGCTGCTGTCATTGGACGAGCTCATCTACCACGAGCTATGCGTGAATTTCTACTTCACCTTCGCCCACGTCGTCGCGATCAACAAAAAGAGTCGGCCCTACGTGGAGTTTATGCTGGGCGGTCAGCCACGGGTCCTGACCTATGATGCATTCGCCCAGGCCATGGGGCTCGACACGACATACATGACGATGATGGATAATACGACCCTGGTGGGTGTATTTTTATCAAAGTCACGCAGCAAACAATCAATCTGGAGATTGATTGAAAATCAAATCAAGAACAACGCGTTCTTAATACTAAAATTGGATAAAACGGAAACGAAAGGGAATTCTTACACCTGGAAGAATGCACAATCGTTATGGTGAAGCTTTCGATATAATCGAGTGTGATTTCTCGATCAACAAGTTTTGATCACAACCAAAACCCAAGAACAAGTTCGCAAACTTGAACAAACCAAACAGTTTCGATTTCTTTTCAACAAAATCTCTCTGCCTATTACAACAAAAAGAGAAGGCTATCTATAGCCAAATAACCCTAATTACAATCCTAAAATAACAATGAAACTAATTAAACGAATCCTACTCAAAAGCTGTAAAGAAATCCAAACAAAACAAGGAAACTTAAACATCAAGAAATCGGCCTTTGTGAACAAGTTTCTAACAGTGGTTTGTACGGTCTTTGAGCCTCTTGTTCATGGCCTTCCAGATCTCAAATCTTTCATCCAATTCCTTCCCTTGGTAGATAATAATACCTACATGCATGTTGTGGAAGCCTTTGGACTTGAATCAGATCCTTGCTCTTCGAATTGAGCTCCAAAGTAGGCTTCACAAAACAGTTTTCTGACTTAGCCAAATTCTGGCAGCTTTCAGCTTTCCAAATAGCAACTTTGGACGTCTGGAAAATGACCTTCTAGACTTATCCTTGAGAAACCAAGCATACCATTGTGTAGATAAACACTTCATCTTCAATACAAGCCCTTAATATTGAATTTTCATCAAGCCAATTGTGGGAAACATGCCTCCAAAGTCGACTACGTGAAACATGAAAAATACTTAGACATGAATTAGTGTTCTTCAGTCAGTTTGAGCTTGCTTCTTCGTCGAGTAATTCCAACTTGTAGATTGATCCAATTTGGATCATATAAATGGAGCGAGCGGTAGTACACCGTCGACTTCCACTACTAAACCGCATTCCAGGCCCTCTGCAGCTCTTAGCACGAGTAGGACGAGTTCGAGGCTGGCCGCACCAATGCGGTGAAGCTAAGGACCCCTTGGAGAATCATGCACACGCTGCTCACCCGATCCGTCGTCCTCAACTTGCAGTCAGGCCACTTGATCATGAACAGAGGGTTGCTTGCTCTCTTTTCTATGAGGCATCCAACAGAGCAGATCCACATGGGATCACTAATTGCCACCTCTTTCTCCCGGTGCCTAGGCCATAACAGGGTGGACACTATGCACATGGGGGGTATCATCACGAGGCTGGCCTGACACTTTCATGTGGATCTGGAGCGATGCTCCATCGTCGGCCGGACATAGCCCTTTCTCAGTGGCGACCCTCTACAACCAAAAGCTAGTGCTTCATGGAGAGAGGGGGATAGAGTACCTCGATGGGCTCTGAACCTCAAGATTCGTGAGGCCAGCAGTTGACCCGGCTCCAGTGGAGCCTGATGCAGAGGTCCCACCTCCAAAGCCGCCACTTGCTCAAGCTCCCGGCCGCCGCCGGCGTCCCGCACTCTAGCGCCCTGCACCAGCAACAACACCACCATCAGGTGTCTGTCCTTCCACTTTTAGGGTACCCCTCGTGGAGAGGATTGACCGTTTTGAGACCCACGTCATGGGCGTCACTTTCCAGCTTGACCAGCAGACCGACCTGCTCGAGCGAATCGCTCCTTGCTAGGGCCTCATTCCCGATGATGACCCGGGGGCATCGACCCAGTGAGAGGTAGCCGACGATGAAGGCATGTGGCAGAGTCGTTCCCTTTCGCCCCACTTCTCCACATGGAACTTTTAACTCTTTGTTTTATTTTCCTTTCTTTAATTTAGTATGTGTGAACAACTACTACTATCGTATTGTTTTGTGTAATAACCTCGCCTTGAGTGAGTATGTGTTGTGTTTTTGTATTCTCCTTGAAACTAAATTCTCCTACCCTGGAAAATTTTCAAATTTCACTCACCAAGCCAAGCGGTAACATCGTTCTACCCCTATCTTACGCCATTGAGGGCAATGTGGAACTTAACTGTGTGTGTGTGTGTGGGGGGGGGGGGGGGTAGTTTATTCTTATGCTTATGCTTGTGTGAGTGTGATTGATGCTTGGAGCCTTGATGTATGCCCAAATTTGAAAATTTTGAGGGCTCCAAGCAATGTTTGCATGATCAAAGTGGCCGGTTTGTAGGAGAATCTCATGTTTATTGGCATTGACCTTGAATTGTTGCAAGTAATCGAGTGTGTCCTATGATGATGACTGAGAGGTGCATTAGGATAGTGCATAAGTTTAGTTCTCATGTGTGAAAAAAATGAATGAATGTCTTGACTCGATTACTTGATTACAATTTCCATGCATTGTGTTTTGTGAAAGTGGAATGGATGTGTGGGTGACTAGGTAGCCATGTGAGTTTTGAGCCGATCGTTTTCTTCTTGTGTGCTTAGATCCCTCTTACCATGGCGAGTGACATCATAGTTGTCACTAGTGAGTATGATGGAGACATAGGATTACTCCACGCCCAAATGTTAATTGTCCCGAAATGTTTTATCCCCTAGTCAACCCCTTTGAGCCTTGTGACTTTGGGGGTCGTTCTCTTGTAGGAGCTTTTCGCTTGTGAGCTTAATGGTGTTTGATAGAACGACCCCCCATCCTTTCCTCGTGTCTATACGTGAGTTGTCCTTGTGTCCCGGAGCTCTCGCTCATGAGTTCCATTGAGTTTCTACATAGGAGGATTGTGTGCGGTTCTTGCTAGGAATAAAAGAGAAAAGAGTAGTGTCCGAGTGAGTTCTTAAAAGAGAGCATTGGTTGTTAAAGATAATGTGGCAAGTGTTTAACTCTCTAGTACCCCCCTCAAAAAGAAAAGAAAAGGAAAGTAGAAAGAAAAAGAATCGAAAAGAGGTAATAAAACTGGGTAAATAAAGTAGAGAGTGCCACAAAAGAATCAAAGAGTATCCTCTAAGTGGGGTTTCTTGGCACTCAAGCCATTGAAACCCCCACATTTTTTTAGAACTCCTTCACTACCAAGTCGAAATGTGATAGCAAGAGTAGGCCGAGAAAGAGCGCTTAAAGGTAGTTCATGGTGGGTGATAGTTTGGAAGGGAGAAGCAAGGTTTTTGGCCGATGCTACTAACCATTGTTTGTAGGGAAGGTTCTTAGTCGAAACCATAGAACCTTTAGGTTTAGGGTGAAGATGTAGGACCTCATGATGTATTTGCCACCACCAAAAAAGCCTTTTCCTTATGTCCAAGACAATTGCAGTCATTTGAACCCGTGTCTAAGACCTCCGGACAAGCTAGTGATGACAACCGTCCTGTGAACTCTAACATTTAGAGGTTGCTGCCGTGGTGAAGAGACGATAGAGCCGAGTGTTGATGATTGTGCACATTCTTTGCACCAAAAATTTCCCAACCCCACTGGTCAAGTGAGTGAGTGATTCATTCTTGCTGTGCATTTCATATTGATAGACCATTGATTACACATGTTTTTACCCCTATTCTTGAGCCGTTTGAGATGTCGATTCTCGGGTTTTAGGCTGATTTCACGCTAGGTTGTTCTTGTTTGTGATATTTCATGTCCTAGTACGTGAATGAAGGCTTGGGAACGAGTTCGGGGTCGATTGGATGAAGATTGGACATTTGGCGAGAAGCTGAAGGAGCCACAGGGGCACGCCTAAAACCCACACGGTCGTGTAAGGGAACCCATGTGGCCATGTGGAAATTCCAGGGAACTCACACGGGCAGCCTGGAAATCCACACGGTCGTGTGGTTGTGGCCGTGTGGGATGGCTGAAGTCACTTAATCGAAACTCCGTGTTTTGACACTCACACGGGCAGCCTGGGAAAGCCACACGGTCGTGTGGTCGGGAATTTCTGGGTTTTTAACCAAATTCAAGCCAAAGGAAAGAGGGAGTGGGGTTTTGGATCCCAAACACCCAAGGGACGAACCAAAGAGGGAGAGGGTGATTTGAAGGCATTCTAAGAGTGGAATTGGAGGATTTCTTCGCCTTGGAAGCTCGAGGAACAAGCCCGGACTTGAAGACTGATCATCTGAAGATTCTTACTGCAGTCTCTCTCTTCTCTATAGAGTAACTTCCCTTCACTTAGGTTTTGAGGAACCCTAGCTATGTTTGTTTGATTGGATGATTGTATGAGTACTCCTACTTGATAATTTTGAGTTCATATTCAGTCTATGCACCTTTTCATGATTCAATTCTACTTTAGTCGAGATTATTGATTCTGCTTTGATCCTATGAGAGCGAATACCTGATTAGGTCAATAGAGCACCATAGATTGATAGTAGTGGATCGATTGCTTTAATCGAGGGTTGATTCACTGCTTTGTATCGATTGAGAACCTCTGTTGATAGAGGGAGTCTAGT